CCACACCTGTGGCCAGGGGCCTGGGTCAGCGAGGTGGGCCTTCTGTGTCTCGGACCCCTGGCCACAGGGTGGAGGGAGGAGCTGGATTTAGGAAGAAATCAGTCAGATTTGCCCAGACCCTGGGCATCAGCCATGCCCTCGGTGCCTTCCTGCCCAAGCGGTACTGGGAGGTCCACGGCGGGCGAGGCAGGGGCACCAGGCCCACCCTGGGCAGGGGCACCAGGCCCATCCTGGGAAGAGACACTGGCCCAGGAGCCGCTGAGGGGCTGAGGTGTGGGGGTCCAGGCTGGAGTGGCCCCTGGGGAGCTGGGCTGGGACCTCAGACTCACCCGGCCCTGGCCCTGGCCCTTAACCCCTCCCAGGCCGGAGGGAGACTGGTGGGGACCGTGAGGACCCAGGGAGCAGAGTCGGGGCTGTGGGTCCGGCGTCCTGGCAGGGCTTGGGGATGGGGAGTGAGTCTTGAGCAGGGGTGCAGAGGAGGGGGCTGGAGGGGCACAGCTCGTCAGACAGGGGAGGCCAGGGCAGGGGAGGGTCAGCCCTGAGGGGAGAGAGGCCCATCTGTGTGACCCAGGGAGCTGGGGACAGGCCTGTGGGATTTATGCTGAGCTTCCAGGGCCCAAGGTCACACAGCTGGGGAATGGACACTCTTGAGGTGAAAGGTTAAAACTACAAACACAAAATTAGGTCCAGGGCCTCAGAAGGGACCCAGCAGGTGAGGGATGGCTTGTATTTATTTATTGAAGCAAGAACCTGAAATGTGGGCAGAGGGTTGCAACCAGGACTTACCTGTGACCCACTCCACCCCCAGACCAGGGCCACCTCCGCCCTCCACTCCAGCACGGATTCCCAGTGTGCCCCTGCACTGCCTGTCCTTTTCACGTGCATAAACACACACACACTGACATGCATGTGCACAAACTACATACAGACATGCAGTGCTCACACACGTGCATGTACCCACTTACCCACGCATGCACACGTGTGCACAGGGAGAGATGCACCCGGTGCACACATGCTGTGTACACTGCTTACAAGCACGTGCACATTTGCGCCCACCTGCGCGCCCACCTGCATGGCCACTGTGACTGGTCACAGGGTCTGCAGTGAGTCAGGTGCCCATGGAGGGTTCCTAACAATGGGGGCTGGTGTCAGGACAGCACCCAAGGGGCATGTCCTTCAGCATCTGCACCCCCTGAGCCAGCCTGGGGACGGGACAGGCACCCGGGGGCAGGGGCCACGCAAACACTCCCTCTGGGCCCTGCCCTTGCTGAGCAGTGCTGTCCTCACGGAGGACTGTGTCCTGAGAGCTGAGGGGGCTGTGGAGGACTACTGGGGGCACTGGGGGCCTTTCAGGGCACCGTGCTGGGGTCTGCTGAGGTAGTGAGGGGACACCCTGAAGCCTGGCCCCTCATCCCCGTCCCCACCGTCTTTCACTCTCCCCCTTCCTGGGGGTTCTGTCTTCCCCAGGCTTGTCTGTCTCCTGGTTTCTGCTTCGGCCTCCCCCCACACTCGGATGGCACAGGTCAGCCACCCCCCCGTGAAGGCGGACATTCCTGCGGAGCCCAGCCTAGCCTTGGGCTAGTCCCATCTTCACTGCTTGTCAATATGCCCATCACCCAAGGCCACATCTATCCTCACACCCTCCCCCACCATAAATAAACACTTGGTGCCAGGAGGAGCCGCATGGCCGCCAGATGCCCTGTGGGGCAGGCAGGGGCTGCAGGCCAGGCCGTGGGCGGCTCCCCAGGGGCCCCAGTTCCAGACCCAGGCCAAGCTGGGATGCACTCTCCACCGCCTCCTTAACTCTCACCCCAAGGGCTGGGCACTCTCTTGGCCTGGCCTGGCCTCTCAGGACCAGCAGAGCCGGACCCATCTTCATGCATGGGCCGCCTTCAACGGTACCCAGCAGAGGCAGCCATGGGCCTGCGGAGCAGGGGCATGGGGTGACCCCAGAGGGCCCCTGGGTGTGGCACAATGGCCTTTGACCAGGTAGCCCCTGGCTGACGCCCAAGGGGCACAGCACCCACCCATCCCTGCTGGGCACCCACCCTGCTCTACCTGGGGTCACCTCAGGGCAGAGTGAAAGCTTTGCTTCCCCCGCTTGGGTCCAGCAGATCCCTAAGACCCCCGGGCCAGTCTCCAAGACACGGCTGGGTCATAAAGACAAGAAATTTCCAGAATCAGGAGCCCCCACTGGGGCCCTGGATGAGTAAGCCCCCCACAGAAGAGCCTCCCGTCCAGCCCTTAAGCAGGTGCGGGACATGCTTTGGCCCCAGCCGCCTCCTGCTGGGCGGGGCGCCATCTGCCCAGGCTGCCCCAAGGCTGAGTGTCACGGCTGTGGGAGGTGGTGGGGGGAGGCTGCTCCCCCAGGTGGACATGCCCCTCCAGAGGCAGCCAGCTGGCCCTGGGCTCCTGCTGGCCAGGAGGAGCTTCAGGTTGGCCATGAACATCCCTGGGCCCCCTTCCCAGCTCCTGGGCCAGCCCAACACCCAGAGCCATGCTGGGAAATAAGGCATCCAGGTGTCGGCAGGCCATCCGGAGGCAGGGAGGCTGGAGGCACGGCCGGCCCAGGGAGAAAGTGGGTCCTGAGTGGTCTGGACAGAGACCCAGACAGGGCTTCGTGTGGGGACGCCTGACTCCAGGGTGCCTCTTTCCATCACGGAGCAGCTGGCCTGTGGGGACCCAGGGTGGGGCTGTGGAGAACTCTTTGCAGCCAGAGGAGCCCTGAGCCGCTGCACCCAGCCCAGTGTTCCCACCCAGACCCAGCACCCCCACCCAGGAGCAAGGCCACCTGCCCCCTTGACCCTCTGCTTTGGGTTTTGCCTCTGCTGATTCCTGACAATGGCCACCTCTGCACCTGGTGTCCCGGGCTTTCTTGCCCAGCATGGCCCTGGAGCCAGGAGAGGGGTGGGGGAGGGAACAAGGGCCTTGGGGATTTTCTGGTGCATTCTGACACTGCCCTTCCCTACCCAAAGTCCTCCGCGGACCCACCAGTCCGTCTCCTCAGCGCCCACCATGACAGGAGCATCTTGGGTGGGGCAAGCTTGGTGGGGCTGTGAGGCACCTCCAGAGGGCTGGGCACAGGGTTTGTGCCCGTGCGGTGGGGTCCACTGTGGCCACCCCTGGTCAGCCTTCCTGCCGGCTGAGGGGAGCTGATCACCGAGCAACAAGAGGGTGGGGCAGACGAGGTCCTGTGAGCCCCTGTCCAAGGCCAGCGGACACTCATAGGTCAGCAAGAGGCCAGCAGGCCTTGGGACAGCCGCAGCCCTGATGGGCCAGCTCTCTCTGGGGGACACTGCCTGGGGGACCGGCACTGGCTCCCAGTCCTGAGGATGAGATTGAGCCTAGGTCTGGGCTCTAGGCTTGTCCCCGACCCACCAGGTGGAGGCAGGGAAATAGTCTCGATGACCTCCCGAGGACAAGGCCGTTCCTTGTCTCCCTGCAGCCCAGAGCACCTGCCCGGCCCAGCCTCCCAGGCAGATGCCTGTCCTCCCCTCAGCCCCGGGCTCCAGGGGTCTGGGGGAGCTGCAGCCTCAGCTCTGCTTGGCTGCTCTGCACCCACATCTGAGCTCAGTGCACAAGGCCTGGGTCTCTGCCCACCGGGCCCACAGAAGCCCCGGGCCCAGCTGTGTCCAGTGCTGCCCAGCCACTGCAATGGGCCTGGAAAAGCAGGGGGCAGAGGGCTAGAAGGCAGTTCCGGGGCCTCTCCCTGCCCCAAGGCCTGGTGTGGGCTCTGAGGGGCCAGCACATTGCTCGGGGGTTCAGCACAGGCAGCTGCCCTGCCAGGTCAGGACCTCCAGCACTGGGCCACGCCCTCGCCCCCCCAGGGGTCCTCCTGAAAACCCCCCAGGAGGGAGGGGTCCAAGGCCAAGCTCCACAGTTGGCGTAGTTTACAGAAGCCCACCAGCCTCCCTCATAGGAAGGCCACTGCCTCTGGGCCACAGGGAGACCAAGGAGCTGGTTCCTGATCCCACGAAGTGGTTCTTCTCCAGGCCTCTGGGCCTCACCAATGACCACATCACCTTCCCACCCCAGCCAGTCACAGCCGGTCAGGGGAGAAGGGGACATGGGGACTATCAGGTCCTTTGCTGCCTGCCAGGGAATGGGGGAGGGGGTACTAGCTGGCAGTTCCGTGCTCCCAGCCCTGGACCAAGACTGGGCCCCCCAGGAAAACACTCAGCCACCTTCAGTGGCCCCACAGCAGGGGTCCAGCCAGAGCCAGGAAACCGTGGGGGCTGAGAAGCAGGTACCCAACCTCTCCAGGACCTCTGTGGGCCTGGTGCCCTCCCTCCCGCTCCCACTGGGGGGCTGGCAGTGCCCATGATGGTCCCATTCAGGGAGCTGACCTGACCCCATGCCTCTCCCTTGAAGATTTCCAGACAGCCTTGGGGTCATTCCAAAGCCAAACGCCAGGGCTGCCAAGAATCCAGGTTCCGGTCAGAAGGCACCAGGCCCTGGACAGATGGCCATGGGGGAGGCTCTGCCCAGCACCCCGGCCCTCTGACTCTACTTTGGAGCAAATCTGGTTTCTTTACCTCTGCCCAAGTTCCCTATCACGTTCCCCACCCCCGCCCCAGGCCCACTGGGCTTTTCAGAACCAAACTCATACAGTCCAAAGAGGTCTTGTGTCCCCACCCCCACCCAGGGTCACTGGGCTTGGAGCGGGGATGGTGGTAGGGCTTGTGAGGCGTCCCAGCCACAGGTGGGAAGTGACCAGAGGCCCCAGAGGCAGCCCATTGCCAAGGCACATGCCCCTGCCCCCATCCAGGCTGGAAGGGTGGGTCTCTGGGACCGGAGAGGGGGCCAGCCGTGCAGGTGTCTCTGCCTGCCCCCTACCCTCTCCAAACCCCAGGGGGCAGGGCCAGGCCTGTGCTGGTCGGAGCCTCTTACACAAGCAGCCCTGCGGGGGGCGAGGCTGCAGCTGGACCCAGCATCACGAGCTCCCGTGGGCTGTCCCTGGGCCCTGGGCAGAGGCCAAGCCAGGCCCATAAATAGGGGTCTCCCCAGCGGCCCCTGCTCCTCCTGCCTGCCTCCCTCCCACTGCCTGCCCTGTTGGCACAGAGTCCGGACTCCTGTCAGCACGGGGAGGATGGCTGCTCCACAAACACTGTGGGTGGGGCTGGTCCTGCTGGGAGTCCTGGGGGGCCTGCGGACCCGGGCCCAGGCCCATGTCTCCCTGCAGCCCAACTTCCAACAGGACAAGGTGAGGAGCTCCCCTGCCCGGCCCCCAAAGTCAGACAGAGCCCCGCCAGGGGAGGGGGAGATCTCCGGGCCAGGTGTCCCCTGGGAAGAGTTGCTGAGCCGATGACGGGAGGAGGCTGTAGGGGAAGGGCGGAGGCTGACAGCGGAGGCCCCACCACCTCCGCCCGGGACCCAGCGACTCTCCAACCGAGTGAGCTCAGCAGCACATCCCGACCACAGCGGAGCACCTGTGTCCGGGCGCGCCCACGGCACGTGCAGGCACCGGGGCCCCCTGCGCGCCCACGCCACCCCAATACGGTCGCCTCTCTGAGCTCGCGGCTCGCGCACGCTTGGGGGCTGCGCGGGGACGCGCCAGAGGGGGTCCTCCCGCCGCGCTCCCCCGAGCGTGGCGGGCGCAGCCGGGCGCCCTCTGCTGCCCGCTCCCCGACGGCCGGGGGTGCGGCGGAGGGATCGGAGGGCCTGCCCGGGAGGGGGCTGCAGGCCTGAGGGGCGGGGTCTGGATGGGGCCGGCTGGGGTGACCACCCCGCTGGCCAGGGAGGGTCCTGGCCGACTGGGGCGGGGGCCGTTCGTCGCAGTTCCTGGGGCGCTGGTTCACCTCCGGCCTCGCCTCCAACTCGAACTGGTTCCGTGAGAAGAAGAACGCGCTGTCCATGTGCTCATCCATGGTGGCCCTGGGCGAGGGCGGCGGCCTCAACCTCACCTCTACCTTCCTCAGGTGGGCAGGCGGGGCGGCTCCTGGGGTCGGAGAGCTCACCGCCCAAGGTCGAGGGCCAGGGGCAGCCCCGGGCCTGACCCTTGACCCCAGTGGTGACCTGCCCGCAGGAAGGACCACTGTGAGACCAGGACCCTACTGCTGCTGCCTGCAGGCCCCCCAGGCTGCTACAGCTACACCAGCCCCCGTGAGTGGGCCCCCCTCCCGGGAGCCCTGGGCCCAGCCCTGGGTAGACACCGGGTCACAGCAGTCCGCGGGGGGGCGTGATGGCCGCTCCACCACCGTCAGCAAGCCCAGGGCCTGGTCTCCATCTGCCCCAGGCTCACGTGCAGGGCTCAGGAACCCTCTTTCCTGGGCCCCAGATCCTCTTTGGAGCCCACCTGCCAGCTCCCTGTCACTGGATGGCATTTCCTGCCTCATCGCCGCTGGCCAGGGGCGCACACACAGACAGCCCCAACCGCCCCCATGCCTCCGCACAGCCCACTGTCCCCCGCCCCAGCCCCAGGCCACCTTGCTGTCCCGCACAGCTTCCCCGCTGGGAAACATTCTCTTTTCCCAATTCTAGCTGAGGGGTTGTGCTTACTGGCCCCCAGGGCTTCTGGTCTGGGGGACACTGGACCCCTCAGAGTTCAGGGGCTGTGTGGGCAGGAAGCAGGAGGCTGGCCGCTTTCCCCAAAGGGGGGGGTGCAGAAGACAGCCAAACAGACGGGGGGGCACCCGGGTCCTGGCCTCAGCCAGCCCTCAAAGGCACCCTTCCCAAGTGGAGGTGGGCTGGAGCTTTGGGGGCAGGTCCCTGACTGGGGTCATCTTGTGGCTTGCCAGACTGGGGCAGCACCCAGAACGTGTCTGTAGTGGGGACGGACTACGTGGAGTACGCGCTGCTCTACACGGAGGGCACCAAGGGCCACGGCCAGGACTTCCGCATGGCCACACTCTACAGTATGCACCCCACCCTGCCAGTGGCTTCTCGTGGGGCTCACCAAGCCTCAGGTTGGGGCAAAGCAGAGTCCTCCTACACTGAGGCCAGGCTTCTCTTTCCTGCCCAGGCCGTACCCAGACCCCTAGAGCCGAGGTAAAGGAGAAATTCGCCAACTTCACCAAGGCCCAGGGCTTCACAGAGGACACCATTGTCTTCCTCCCCAAAACCGGTGAGGGCGGTCACCAATCTGATGGGTGGGGATTACTGTCAGATTAGAGGCAGACAGCTTCCTGATTCAGGGGAGACTGAGAGGCGGGGTTCATCCGGCCAGACCGCCCGCTGACTGGCATGCACCCCGGAGTGGGGCTGTCAGTCCTCACCCTGTGGCTTTGGCCTTAGGCCCCTGGGTGGGCAGGGGTGGATACTCCTCCAGAAAACCCCCACCCTGGGTCTCCCAAGCACCCACTGTGTGCCAGGCCCTGGGTCGGCCACCAGGACACAGGAGCCCCGGCATGATGGGGCAGGCACTAGAAACGAGCCTGTGGGGTGTGCGTGCCCATGGGGTGCACAGGCTTGTGGGAACGCGATGCCATGGCCTCTGGGCAGGCAGCCTGCTCGGGGCCCAGGTGAGGGCAGGACGCCTCTGTGTTGGGAGGAGCAGGGCTTGGGGGACGGGAAGTGATGGAGCGTGGTGGAGTCGGCAGCTTTGGGGGTCAACCCCGATCAGCTCTCCAGAGCTGCAGGGAGAAGGCAGGCAGCCCAGGGGGCAGGTGGCCCCAGCCGGGGGCGCTGACCACCCCTGAGCCTCTCTCTCGGCAGATAAGTGCTTGGAGGAGCACAAATAGGTGAGTGGGGGTTTCCCCCAGCAGCCCCACTCATTGATTTGTTCACTCAGTTATTCACTCAACACCCACCCCACCAGACAAGGATGGTCCCAGTGGGAGGAGCTCCACTGAGGTCCAGCAAGGTGGGGGCAGTAGAAGGAGCTGGAGGCTGGGACAGGGCCAAGGTGGGAGGCGAGGGGGAGGGGCAGGGGGTTCTGTTCCCTTTCGAGGGACATCAGGGAATGAGAGATGCGGCTGGAGCTGGAAGGAGTCTGGGGGCCCCACCTACAGGTCCTGCTCTCTCAGCCAGGTGACCCCAGCCCTCAGGACCTGGCCACCTGCCCTGCTCAGCTCTCTCCTCTAAGACCCCTGGGACCCCAGTCCTGGCTCCCCCTGCCCCCCTCTGCCCCTCTATCCTGCCTCTGGCAATAAACACAAGCAAGTCAGCAGCCTGGCTCCTGCGTCTCCATCCTGGGCCCTGGGGACCTGACCCGCCTCCCACCCACTTTGAGCCTCGGTCTCCCCTCCTGACTAAATTCTGGGAGGCTGGCTCTGCAAGACGTCTCCAAGGGGTGGGCAAAGCCGGCTAGTGCTTGCTCCTGGTGGGGTAGGGCAGGTGGCCATGGTCAGTGCCATCACTGGCCCCCACGTGCCCACCTCACTGCAGCGCCTCCACCCCCCCACCCCCCAGGCTACAGCTGTGGCCAAAGATCTGGGCTGCAGCCCGATTAGATCCTAATCCCTAGGCAGGTGCCCATGGCTCCGCCTCTACCCCCAGCCAGGAGAGGCCCGAGGCCAGGGCAGCCTTGCATGTGATGGGGTATTGAAGGTGCAGGTTTAGTGCACAGAGCCTGGGCAGACGTGGGGGCTTCAGGGGATAAAGAGGGAAGTAGCTGGTGAGTCCACGCGCCCCAGACCAGGACAGACGGCCACTCTCACACCCTCTCTCTGGCTACCTGAGCACCCCCAGTCCCCAGGCTTCTGGCCTGCGCCTCAAGAGCACACAGCCCTGCCCATTTGCCAGGCTCCTGGCTCCAAAGCCCACCCAGAGCCCTGGAGAACTGTCTCCCTGTGCAGCCCTGCCCCTTGCCTCCTGCTGTCCCCAGATTCCCTGCCGGGGTGGCCATTTTAGGCCCCTGCCCTGGGCCCCCCACTCAGAATGCACAGCACCTCTTCAGCCTGCCTGCCAGGCCCCTACCCAGGCAGACCTCAGCCATATCCTGCAGGGGCACCAAGATTGTGAGCTCAGAGGTGAGTGTGAGCCTCTGGGAGGGCTTCCCGGCAGAAGGCGCCTGGGGACCCACACCCCTGAGGGCCTGCCAGACGACTCCTCCCCCTGCTGTGAGGCATCCGGCCCCCTGCACCCAAGGAGGAAGCAGCAGAGGGTGGCAAGGTGGAGGCAGCCAGGCCAGGGTGCTGGAGGGCACAACACGATCATCTGAGCTGCTCAATCCCAGGCTGGCAGGCCGGCCGCCCCAGGGCATCTCAGGGGCATAAAGGCAGAGCAGCAGAGGCCACCTCAGCTCTTCGGCCAAGAGCCACTGTCTACGATGCTGCAGACTCTGCTCCTCGGCTCAGTCCTCTCCCTGCTTGCGGTGTCTCCAGGCCAGGCCGAAATCCCCATCCAGGCCAACTTCGATGCCGGCCAGGTGTGCCCACGCGGCCCAAGCCAGACCCATCCCTTCCTCCCCGTGACAGCCTCTCCCGGCCTTGCCCCTAGCAGGGTCCATGGGGCTGGGAAGCCCAGCCCTGCCCACACCCTGTGTGATCCAAGCTTTGCTCCCACATTGGGGATGAGGAGAGAGCCCCGTCCACCTGCCCCATCCGACTGGGGCTGAGGTGTGCTGCAGACAGCAGACCCTTCCGCCCAATCTCTGGGCTGTGCCCACCACCACTCCCCTGGGCCTCAAATTGGGACAGACTGCAGCTGTTCTCACCCCCATACTGGGTCAGGACCAGCTTTCTCTGCCCCTTCCCTATAGTTCCAGGGCACCTGGTATGTGGTCGGGATGGTGTCAGATGACCAAGGCTTCCTGGACTCCAGGGACAACATGAAGATGCCCGTGGTCTTGGTGACCCCCTTGGCCAATGGCGACCTGGCCCTCAAGTTTGGGTACTCCACGTAAGTGACCCCACAAGCCCCACCTCAGACCGGGCCATGAGCCTGGCTAGTGTGAGGCCAGATGTAAGCCATAGGGAACTAACTGGAGGTGTCCCTGAGTTTGGGAAGGCAGACCCCGGCCCCGTGGTGCCGGGCTGCAGGGGGTCCCTGAAACAGCAGCAGCTCCCCTGCTCCCCAGAGGGGCCCAGTCTGCAGAGATGCCTCGTCCTGCAGCCTGGGCATAAGGAGCAGCGTCCTGTGTCTGTGAGTCCGGAGGGGAGACCCCACATCCCCTGGCTGTGTGCCCCTGACCAGGTACTTAAAACCCCAGCCCCCACTCACCCCATGCGTTTCCTCACCTGTAAGATAATCATGATGCCCCTGTGTCCTCAGAGGAGATAAGGGGATGTGGGCGGCTGGGTGGGGGAAGGGCACGGCTCAGGGTGCTGTGGCCCCTCCTGCCCAGGCCCGACGGTGGGTGCCAGAAGATGGACATGACCTTCACCAAGGGCGCAGTGGACGGGCAGTTCAGCAACACGGGTGAGGCGACTGCAGCGGGGAGGACGGAGGGCAGCATCGGGCAGTGAGCTGGGAGGCCCCGGGGCTGTCCAGGCTGCCAGCCTGGTGTCTGGGGGCATCCGGGGCTGAGCCGGCTCTGCCCCGCAGCCATGGCCCAGACTGACATCCGGGTGGCGTCCACCGACTACACACACTTCGCTGTGTTGTACTTCGAGACGCAGAAGGGGGACGACAGGAATATCTGGCTTCATCTCTACGGTGGGGAGTGCTCCTGGTCCCAGGCGCGGGCCTGTCCTCTGAGTGCCTGGGGTGTAGCCTGTGTGCACATTCCAGCAAGTTCTGACCCCAAGGCTGGTGTGACCACCGGATCCAGTGTCTCCTTGGGACCCCTGGGTCTGGTGGAAGGTGTCCAGGGCCTCCCTGCCCCTCCCTCCCCTGAAGCCCCCTCCACTCACTGACCCCCTGCCCTCAGCTCGGGCCCCAGAGCTGTTTCCCGAAGGCGCCCAGAAGATGCAGCAGCTGGCAGCTCAAGTTGGCCTGAACCCCAGCCAGGGCGCCCTGCTGCCCAAGTCGGGTGAGCACTGCCCCCACCCAGGCTCAGGGCTGCAGGAACAGGGAGACCACACACCCAGGCAGGAAGGACCAGGCCCCAGGGCCCAGTCCACTGACCGCAGACTCAGCGGCAGCCCCGGCCTGGGGGCGGCAGGATGGTGCCCGGGACCCGGCCCCTCAGGAGGGACACGCAGGCAGGGCAGGGCCGAGGGTCCACCTGGGGGGGGGTGCACCACGTTGTTCCTCAGGCTCCACTCTCTCCCACAGACCAGTGCACCGGCGCCTTCTCCTAGGTGAGCATCGGGGGCTGGCCTGGACCCCCTCTGGGCACGCAGTGCCCAGCACCTTGCCCGCCCATGGAGACCCCTTCTGGCCAGAGGTCTTCACTGTGGGGTCCTCTGCCTGGGGAAGGAGGGGGTCAGGGTGGGGGTGGGGGGAGGGGCAGCTTTGGAGAGAGGTGGGCTGGGCTCAGGGAGGGAGGGGGGTGCTGCCCACCTCCTATGCCTGCCCCTTGTTTGCAGAGAGGCATCCAGCCCAGGAGTGCAGCAGGGGGCCATATGGCTTGCTGCTCCAGCACCCAGCCCTCCCCAAAGAACACCCTGTTCTCCCCACCCCGCCACATCCCCAGCACAATAAACAAGCTCCCAAAGCCAAGGGCTGTGCTTTTCTTCTCCAGAGAGAGCGAGCAGGGGGCGCGCATGGGGGCAGAGGGGAAGGAGCAGAGGGGCCAGGCTCCTGGGGAGAGGGGCCTGCCCCATCCCCTAAAGCCCGGGACTCAGAGGGGGACAGTGCAGGTGGGGTCCAAGGCATGCGAGGTGGGCCCTGCTCCCAGCCTGGGCAGGCGTGTGCCAGGAGGGGCTGAGGTTGTGCTCGGAGGGAGGCAGGCCCGTCCAGATGGAGGAAGGTGTCGCAGGGGCTGCCCTGGGCCCCCAGGGACTGGGGGTGTCGCCCTCCCTCTGCAGCCCAGACCTGCACACAGCAGCCTGGACCCCCAGAGCTCGCCCAGCTGCGTGAGCTGGTGGGCCTTTGAGGTCTGCCCGAGCTGCAGCCTGGAGGGTGTCTCCAGTTCCGCCCCGGGTACCCCTCCGTCTCCCAGTCTCCACCAAGCCCTGCCCCCAGAGTGCCCAGGGACACACTGAGCCAGGCACCTCCCCCACCCAGAGGAGGTCCCCGCCGCGTCCTGCCATCGTGTTCCCAAAGGATGATGTCGCTGCTCTCTAAAAAAACGTCCTGAAGAATTTGAAAGTAAAATAACACAAATCTGTCATGTAAATAGTTCAGAAAAAAAGTAACACCAGATGCAAATGTGTCAGAATGTTGATGATTGCTCCACTGGGGAGACAGCTCGTCACACTATTTTTTCTGCTCTCGGGTGGTGGGGCATCTTCCGTCAGAAACGCAGCCCGGGCCCACTAGACATGCTTCCTTCAGTTGGGGCCCTTCTGAGTTGGGTGGTCACAGGGATAAAAGCCCCTGCCCCCCAGGGGCTCCAGACAGCCCCTCCACAGCCGCACCCACACTACCCGGGCACCCACCCAGTGCCTCTGCAGCCCCAGCCTCCGTGCCAGCCTCTGGCCCAGCTGTGGGCCCCACAGGCAAGGACCTGCCCCATCCGTGGTCCCCACCCTGGGTGTAGGGGGGAGCAGTGTGTGGGAAGGCCCAGAGGGCAGCCCCCCAACACCTGGGAGCCCACCCTCACACCCTTCCTCCCCACGCTTGGGCAAGGTGCCGTCGGCTCACCTCAGAGAGGCATCTGCTGAGAAATGCCGTTTGAGCTCCAGGATATATCAATTGTCAGTCAATCGATTGGCCTATTGGTTGTCATTTGGCTTCCAAGAGAAGAAGGGGCGGAAGGTGCCAGTGTGGAGACTTACGGTGGAAAGGTGGGGATGTTCGTCTCATGGACACACAGCGGAAGCCTCCCCATCAGCTCTTGGCCCCCACTGGGCTCTGGCCCCATGTCTTGCTGCACTGTCACCTCCCAGGTCCCCTGGGAAAGATCTGGAGTGAGGAGAGGCAGGTCGCCTTCCTTGGTCTCATGGAAACGGACAAGCCACACAGCGGCCCAGGGCCCATCTTCTCCTGAACCACCTCGCTCGGGCCACATGGGGGCAGCCTCAGCCGGTTCTCCACAGACCCCCCCACCCCTCCTGTGCCAAGTCAGCCTGCTCAGACCATCCTCTGTTCACCGAGGGTGAAGGCCCAAGTCCTTAGGTGCCCCACAAGGACGCCCTGACCTGTCCTGCTCTGGCCCCACCACTGAATGCCCCTTTCCTCCAGCCTTGCTAACCTCCTTGTGTCCCTTGAACACACCAGCCCCATGCCTGCCTCAAGGCCCTTGCACACGTTGCCACTGCCTAGACAATCTTTGCCCAGCTCTCTGCTTGGCTCACTTGCCCACTCCTGTGAAATCTTTTGCTCAGATGCTACCCTGAGTGGTCCTTCCATAGACCCTGGGACACCAAGCCCTGGCTCCCTTATGCCTCTCAGGCTCCCCTTCTCTGTGCCCTCTGCGTCTCCATACCAGTCGGCGTGCTGTGCTCCATGCCCTGGGGCCAGAGCTGGCCCTTTGCCCACCCCACCCCCCACACACCTAGGTGGTGCCCAGGCAGCCTGGCAACCTTCTCAGGCCCTTCCCTTCCCTGCGTTTGAGGTCCACGTCCCTCTTTGCACCCAGATATCAACGTGTACCCACATCCCACATTCAATAAGATTGCTCCATACAGAGAGCATAGGTGAGCTGAAGACTGGTGGAGAGGTTACATTTTCTAGGTATTTGTGTACTTAAAAAAAAATTAGATATACAGTTTTTTTGTTTTGGAACAAATTTTCGGGTTTGGGGTCTTGTATTAGTTTTCTATGACTACTGTAACAAATACATGAACTGGGTGGTTTGAAACCTACATTAATTTTCTTAAAGTTCTGGAGGCCAGAAGTTCAAAACCAGTTTCCTTGGACTGAAATCATGATGTGGGCAGGGCCACGCTCCCTCCAGAAGCTCTCGGAGAGAATCCTTCCTGCCGTTTCCATCTTCCGGGGCTGCCGGCAATCCTTGGCCTGGCGCCCCTTGCTCCAGTCTCTGCCCCACGGCCACACTGCTCTCTCCACCGTTTGTGGAATCTCCCTCCACCTCTCTTTTATAAGGACACTGTGATGGCATTCAGGGCCCTCTCAGATGATACAGGAAAATCTCCCCATCTCAAGATCTTTATTGAAGAGCATCTGCAAACACCCCTTTTCTGGGCAAGACGACATTTACAGGTCCAGGGTTAGGGCCTGATGTCTTCAGGGTTCGCCATGCAGCCTACCACATTCTACCCAGAAACACTGCCCTGAGTGCCGTGCCAGGGGACTAATGTTTAAGGCAGTCCCAGGCGCTGGTGGCTCCACATGCTCATCTCCAGACCTCACCCTCCTCTAGACGAGTCTTGTGTACAACACAGCCTCCACACATCTCCGTCAGACACCCAGCCACATAGCAGAGTTCACATGGCAAAGGAGCAAGGCCATCCAGCCCACAGACGGGGAGGGACACCCCACAGTGCAAACACAGGAGATGGGCACCGCCGGCAGCCACCTTAGAGGCTGCCGCCGCAGCAAGTAAGCAAGAATGGATCTTATATAGTGACAAGGCTGGAAAACAAGCAGATAAAACAGGAGAGACTACATGAAATGTTGGGTAGGGGGGTTCTACATGAAGATGTTGGAATTTTATATGAAGTGGCTGGGGAAGGCCTCACTGGGAAGCTGACTTCTGAATAGAAGACCTGAAAGAAGTGTGTGAGTCTGCAGAAAGCATGTGCCTGGCAAAACTGCGGCACATGCAAAGGCCCTGAGACCTCCTTGGGGAGACTGTGGGTGTGAACCAGGAGAAAGTGGGGGACGAGGCAGTCTTGGCTGCAGGCATACTTGGATAGTAGGATATGTTCACATAGCCTACAAACCCACTGACCCCCACCCTGGTGGTCACCACGTGGTCACTCTGGCTTCAAAGCCTTGAGAGAACTGTCTGTGCCCACCCTTGGGGCTCTGCAGTGGCCGCCCCTTCCCTGCCCCACCCCCCATCCTGGCACGCTCCATCCTCCCCTTCTGCCAGGTCACAGCTTAAATGTTCCTGGGCTTTACCTGAGTGTTGCATATTTTGTTTGTTCTTTGTCCATTTGTCCATCCCATTAGATCTCACAAGCCCCAGAAGGGCAGAGGCCTGTCTATTGGTCAAGGTGTGCTCAAGGCCTAGGGAAACAGGTGGCACCCGAGAGGTGCTGGGTAATGGCTGTGGGGTGGAGGATGAGTGAGAAGCCTTTTGCACCGGTTACCACACTTTATTCACTTTTATACTTTGATTTGCTGCCGATCAGCGTTAGGAAGCTTTGCGTTTCTATCTAAGGAGGAGGTGACATCTCTGGGAGGGTGTGAGACGGTGTGGAGGCCAGGGGACCTGGGAGCGGGGCCGGGTCGCGATCAGAGCTGGCGCGCGCAGGGGCTTGAGGCCCTGCAGGATGCACGCGGGCGCGCCGGCCAGGCCTGGGACCCACGCCGGCTGAGACCTTGCTTTGGGTCCACGGCCGGGAGCACGCCCCGCAGTAAAGTCCCGCCCCAGAGACTCAGACCCCGCCCCACAACTAATCCCCGCCCTCCGCCCACGCCCAGGAATCAAGCCCCGCCCCCCGCGGCGCCGACCCTGCCCCGTAGCTGAGCCCCGCCCTCCTGGCTCCACCAGCCCCGCCCAGGCCCAACCCCATCCAGGTCAGGCCGGGGACCTAAGCCTCGCCCCGCACAGACCCCGTTGGCACCGCTCGGCTCCGCCCTGACCCCGATCCCCGCCCCCTGGCGCTAGCCCTGCCCCCACCCCGGAAGCCGTCCGCCCGCGCAGGCGCTCTAGTACCGCGGCCGCGCCCACCGGTCCTGGCCTTCCGTTTTCCTCGGTGCCATGGTGCCGCCGCTGTGCACGATGCCGCCGCTGTGCACGCTGCCGCCGGGCCCCGGGCCCCCGAACTTCGTGTGCTACTGCGAGGGGGAGGAAAGTGGGGACGGAGGCCGCGGCGGCTTCAACCTCTAGTGAGTGGCGGGGCCCACGGGGCGGCAGGGGCGCGGGCAGCTCCGCGGGCGGCCCCTCCTGACAGGCCCTCCCCCGCAGTGTGACTGACGCCGCGGAGCTTTGGAGCACCTGCTTCACGCCGGACAGCCTGGCCACCCTCGTGGGTACCGGGGCTCCTGGGCAGGCCTGGCAGCCCTCAGCACCCCACACCCAGCACCAACCTCCAACGGGTCGGGAGGGGGCGGTTTGGGATTCCCCGAAGGGTGTGGGCACCTTGTCCTGGCTTTGTAGCCGGAGTCTAAAGATTGGCCTGAGGCCCCTGGTGCCTCTGGGTGGGGCAGGCTTGGGGCGTCCCGAGTGGTTCTTGGGTCTCGGGCAGTCGGTGACCAGTCCTGTGCTCTGTAGAAAGCCCGTTTTGGCCTGAGTGCAGCTGAGGACATCACCGTTCGGTTCAGGTGAGCCCCTGAGCAGGAACGCGGGGAGGGTGGAGAGTGCGTGGGTCAGGCCCCAGCACTCAGCTCCCCTCCTTTCCCAGGGCAGCCTGCAAGCAGCAAGCTGTGACTCTCACCCTGCGGGAGGACAGAGCTTCCCTGACCCTTTCAGGGGGGCCTAAGGTGCTGGACTTTGACCTCTCCAAGGTACCAGGCCCCGAGGCAGCCTCCAGGTTGCAAGCCCTTACCCTGGGCCTCGCAGAGCGTGTGTGCAGCTTGGAGCAGCGTCTGGCAGGTAGAGTGGGGGTGCCACGTGAACCCCCACCAGGTCCTCCTGCCCTACTTGTACTCATGCTTCTCCTTTCTTCCCCAGCTGTGGAGGATACAGCTGCCAGCCCCAGGAAGAGCCCCTGGCCAGGGGGGCCTCAGCTCTTTTTACCAGGTAAGGCCTGTCATTTATGACTTGAGTCGGGACTGTGCTTCTTCCTCTGTGACTCAGTTTCCCCAGAACAAGCCTCAAGCTCCAGAGAGAGGATCTAGCTATGTAGAGAGGGCTGTGGCTCTGGGACCCTGCTGGATTTAGGAGTGCCCCATGCCTCCTGTTTCCCCCAGACCCAGATCCTCAGAGAGGTGGCCCCGGACCTGGGGTCAGGAGACGATGTCCCGGAGAGTCCCTCATCAACCCCGGCTTCAAGAGGTAGCCACACCCCCAGTCCTCCATCCTGTACCCGGGTTCTGGCCCTAGACCGCTGCCCCACCCTCCACACTGCACAGGTCACACTCTTTTCTCTCCTAGCAAGAAACCAGCTGCTGGTGTTGACTTTGATGACCCCTGAAGGTGCAAAAAGTATGACCCTGCCAAGAGTCTCTGAGGGGAGGGACAGCCCCTGGGATCCCACAACCTCCACCTGCCCATCCTCCCTCTGGGGGGAAGCAAACCCACTCCTCGGGCCCCTTTCCCGTAAAATAAATGGTTTTCTTAGCAGAGGTCATAGCTAGGCTCTGGCTCCTGGGAGCTGGTTGGGAGAAAGGGATCGGGGATCTCCCGGGGTCTGTAATGGGGCCTGCCGTCTGGGCATGCGTGCCCGTAGACAGGTGCGCCAGTCTCCACCCCTTGTGGTGGAGGAGCCCCCTCCACCCATGCATGGTTCTCAAGATCTGCTCAACTGTCCCTGCCTGGCCAGCCCAGGAGCTGACTGCGCCGCGCATAGCAGAGCCAGTGGCTCCCCGAGGCGGGAACTCTGTTCCCACCCCTACCAGGGCACACCTCACTCTCCCAGACCCCACTGGGCATGGCAAGGCCGGGCATACCCTACAAGAAGCGAGTAAATATTGAGGGAGAGGGCGGGGCCGAGGAACGTGGGCCGGCCCCGCCCACTGGCCCAGAGCCCCGAGTTGCCCAGGCTGGCCTGGGCTCCCCACCCTCCTCGGCCATCTTGTCGCCCCGCCCCGGCCTGACTGGTTTGGGAGCCCAATCCTGTCCTAGCCGTCGCTGACGAGGGCTGAGACCGACCGCGCCCGGCCCACCGGGCTCTCTGCCCCCATCCTTCTGGGCTATCGTCAGGGGCTGAGAGTCCCACGGTGGGGGGTTAGGGGTAGCAGAAATCACGGACCGTCTGGTCCCGCGGATGCCAGGACACGATCACAGGGGCAGAGATGCCTTTATGGGGCTGCGTCGAGTGGGCGGGGGTGATGGCAGAGGCGAGCTCGCTAGCGGGGGTGCACGGCGGGCCGGTAGGCCGCCAGGATCTCAGCGCTGTGCGGACAAGTGTATTTGAACTCCTTCTCCTGCAGCGCGTTGTCCAGGTAGCAGCGGACGCCGCGCAGCTCCGCGGGGATGGGCGCCTGGCGGAAGTGCGCGCACACCGTCTGCAGGCGAGGGGCGCGGGCGCGATCAGGGCCTTCTCTAGGGTGCGCTGCACCCCTCCCCGCCCCGCGCCCCACATCCCGCGCTCACGTCTACGATATGCAGCTTGGGCAGCAGGCCGCAGTCGGCCAGCGTAAGCTGGTCGCCGTCCAGGAAGCGGCGGCGCGACTCACGCAACTGCGGCTCCCGTGCCAGCTCGTGTTCCAGGGGCGCGCGCAGGTAGCTGTCCAGCCTGGCGAGGGTGCGCAGCAGCAGCTGGTACAGGGCTGGAGGCGGGGGATGCAGTGAGGGCCCGTCCTGGGGCGCAACTGGCCCCACCCTGGCCCCCGTCCCGACCCTGCTCACCACCGTCCTGCGCAGGCACTGGGTTCTTGATGAATGCAGAGAACTTGTGGAAAACGTCATTGCCTGCCATGGCGGACTCCCTGTAGCGGGGTGCCAGGCTGGGGAATCTGCAGGGGACCGGCGACTCGGGTTATGCCCTTGCGCTGTTGCCGGGCCCCCCAGCGCCCTTCCCAGTCTGTGTCCTGAGGGTGCCCTCCCTGGGGGCCCCATCTTCACCCCTCCCGCCGCACCCCTGGCACCCACTCGGGGGGCCCCAGCGTCTCTTCAAGAAACTCCTCGATCTGTAGGGTGTCCGTTTTGGCATCGCCATCGTAGAGCAGGATGGGCAGCTGGGAGCCGGGAGCAAAGTCCTTCAGCACATCCGGGGACCTGTGGGCATGAGACAGGGCATATTGGTGGGCCTGAGGGGGCAACGGCCAGGTCGGGGTTCCCTGGGGCAAGGGGCTCACCTGCGGATGTCCACCGTGGTCAGCGTGAAGGGCACACCCTTGAGGAGCAGGATCATGAAGAGCCGCTGACAGGAAGGACAGTGCCCCACGCTCTCGCCATCCTCACTGGCCTAGGGTGGGTGGAGTAGAGGGGTGTCAGTGGGGGGCAGACCCAGGAATCCTGCCACCAGGCTGGCTGGGACCTGCCTCCCACTGCCAAGAGGCTGGAGTGACGCCAGGACCCTGGCTTTGTTGGCACAGCCTGGACAAGTGGCCGGTGAGGGCCCTTGACTGGGTCTCTGGGAGGTGGGGAGAGGCACTGAGCTGCTGGGAGCCTAGACGCTCGGTGAGGGCACAGAAGCATGGGGGTGGGACCCTGGCTCTGGGACCTGGCCCCTCAACCCTTATCTTCAGAGCCTGGGCAGAGGCGAGGCCCTCGGGCTCCCAGCCCCACAGGCTGGTCACAAGGGTGGGGTGGGCAGAGTGAGCTGTTTTCTGAGTGATTCACCCCGCCAAACTGGGTGCCCCACGCCCCAAAGGGTGGGCAGGGGGCCAGGGCTGGCAACCCCCACACCGTGATCTGCAGTTAATGAGCCCCGACTGATGGGGAGGCCTCCCCAGCCCTCTCCTGCAGTGTTGAGCCCGCGCTCCTCTTGACCCTCATCTGCCAGCTACATGGCTGGCACCTGCCCACTGAGGGGTTTTTCTCCAGGAGGGCTAAGCTGGGTCCAGGAGCCAAGTCTGGCGTCAGCGCCCCACCCCCTTTGGAGACAGCTCACTGGACCCCTCCCCACCGGCCGCCTTGTCCTCCTCCACCTCCGTGGAATTGCCTGAGCCCACCGCCAGGCAGGTGGCGCAGACCCCGCTGTGGAGCCCCACTCCGCACCCTACCCAGGAAAGCAGAGCCTTGCAGAGCACCCCTTCTGAAGCCCACCCCAGCCCAGCCTGCCCGGCACCTTAACAAACAGCTGGAGCTTCGCGGTCTCGGCCATGGTGGGGAGCCGCGGCGGCAGGGCACGGGGCGGACCCAGGGAGCTCTTTAAGGCTCTGGGCGGCCCTGCCCTCCCTGGCCCAGAGCCCGCCCCTCGGAGGCACCTAGGCTGGCTGACAGGCTGCTGTCCGAGCAGGAGGGCGTGACGCGGGGGAACCGGCCGTGGGTGTGCAAAGCCGGCCCGCCGCAGACCCAGCGCCAGGTGCAAGCTGAGCCCTGTGGAGGGGCCTGTGGTGGAGGCCAGAAGACTGGGAGGCCAGGAGAGGGGGGCAGGGCGCCAGCCTGGGAAGGGGCAGCTCTGGATCGGGACCACCCCCACCTTCACCCCAGCCCTCCCTGCAGTGGACACCCTGTTGTCCGTCAAGGCCCCCTGCCCAGAACGCTGAGGAGTGGGTCCCAGCCTCAGTTTCCCCATCTGCCTACAAGGGCATTTCAGCAGTGTTGAACCCACTTGGGAGAGACGCCCCCTCCTGGCAGGCAGAGCCCCCAGGGCGGCGCCCACATCCCAGACATGCCTGGGTCCTGGCTCAGGGGTTCGCACCGTCGACCCCCACCCCTGCTCCTCCCGCCCTGGGAGGGTCTCTTCCTCTGTGAACCTTTAAAAGGAAGCACCAGGAGGGGGTTTGAAGCCACAACTTCCTGACGTCGGGGTCCGCCTGCTCTGCTCTCAGCTAGAACATCAGGGAGGTCCGGAAGCTGGGGGCCCCACAGGTGTGCAGCAACCGCCCTGCCCTGCCCACAGCTGGACTGGACCCCACACCCTGCTCCGCCCCTGTGGGGCTCTCCCACAGAGCCTCTGCGACTCCTCCCCAGCCGGAAGCCCTGCGCCACCCAGTGGCTGAGCGCGGGATCTGCTGGTGCCTTCCCTGCCCGACACCGACCAGGGCTCCTGGCACAGGCCACCCCCAAGCCCTGACCTCCGCATACTGTGGAGTTCAGCGCGGGCTCCCTTCTGGGGCCTGGGCTTCCCCTCCGCCTGCGTCCACTCCACACGCCTGCAGTTCAGCTGCTCCTTGGCGGCGTGGTGGGGATTGGCCTGGCACTCAAAGGCCACCACCCTGGAGGTCTAGGCCCCGCCACCCCTCCTGCATTCACCAGATGTCCTGTGTGCTTCTGTGTGTATGAAAATACCCGTCTGCGTCCAGAAGAGTGGTGCAATGGACAGATGGCAGGTGGCCCACGGAAAAGGAAATCCAAGACACCACAGGATAGGGAGCTTGTTTCGCTTCACACTTGTTTCAAGAAACAAACCAGGACAAGACACGGCTCGTGGTTGCAACGGACAGAATTGTGGTAACCCTGTCCTCAAGAAAGCTGTGGGCAAGCATGGTGTGCACTGGTAAGACAGCAGCAGCCCCAGACGATCACCCACCTGGGCACTGGCCTAGAGGCACCCTTGTAAACACACAGGAACACAGAAACGGTGTCCCAGGGCAGCAGGCCCCCACATGTGGGGGTCCTGGGTTGAATGCAGGGAATCCTGGGGAGGGGTCTGACTAGTCTGATGGTTAGTTGTGTCCCCTGCTGGGCTGAGTTGTGTCCCCCAAATGCGTTTGTGGAGTCTTAGCCCCCAGCACCTCAAAGTGTAACCCTCCTTGGAGATGGAGTCTTTATAGAGATAATCAGGTTGAAATGAGGTTATCAGGATGGGCCCTACCCTGATATGACTGGTCCTCTTGAAGTGGGGAGGTTGGGACACAGATGAATGCAGAGAAGGAGCACCACAAGACAACAGACGCAGAGACCTGGTGGCACTGCTGCCAGCCTAGGAACACCAAGGACAGCCAGCAGACCCCAGCAGCCTCCGAAGGAGCAGCCTTGCCCACACCCTGACCCTGGACTTCTAGCCCCTGCGACAGCATTTCTGTTGTTCTGCGCCCCAGTTTGTGGTCAATTGCCATGGCCACCTGCCGCCCCAGCAAAACAACCAAGTGGGAGGGAAGCCCCAGCAAGCTGAGAAAAACTATGTATCAGCACACATCAGTCTGCATCTCTGCTTGTGTGTGTCTGAAAAAGAGGAAAGGGACCATCTCTGCCATGTGGGAACACACAGCTTCTGCTTTCTGCCCGTCTGAAGCCCGAATTTCCTACCATACTTTCACAACAAACATTTAAAGAAGTGAGACCAGAAACTCACTGTCACCAACCTTAACCTGGCCTGTGACCTCCCTGGGCCAAGGGGTGTCTCCAAGCCTCCGCCAACTGCAGAGCAGCCCCTGGAGGCTCCTCCCAGGGACACATCAGCGGCTCAGCTCTGGGGGCGCACAGTCGGGCCAGATGGTGAAGGGCGCAGGGTGACACTGGCGTCTCCACAGGAGCACGTACAGGTACTTCCCAGCTCTGCCGCGAGGGGGCCGGGGAGCAGCGAGCACCCAGAGCCCGGAGGGGAGTCCGGGCGCCTTGGGGAGGCGGCTGGGTCTAGGTGGGGGCAGGGAGGCACACGGCAGGCCTGCAGACTGCCACGCAAAGTCAGGGGTGCTCGGAACTCAGGCCTGGCAAGTCAAAAGGACACAGAAGTCGCAGTGGAGGGGCTCCTGCAGGCAGGATCTGGGGAAGTCTGAGCGCCAGGAAGATGACAGTAGACTGTGCACTTACAAGCAGCTAAATTGTAAGTATATTTTATCACAATAAAAAATTTAAGATGATAGTAATGTATGATCACGTGTTGATTTTTTAAAAACTTGCAAGCTCATTGTGATATATTTCTAAAAGTGGAGAAAAACTTTGTGAGAGAAAAATGCCAGCTAATGGATACAGAAAGAATGAAATCATTAGAAAGTTGCCATTTTGCTGCCACCACCTAGGGTAAAAGGCTTTTGGGAAGCAAGCTGTTCACATGGCCTTTGAGGGGTGGTCTTCTATGTCCCTTCCAGTCCCCTCAGAGCTAAGGACGGAGGCTAATGGCCCAGCTCGAGGCCCCATTGCCACTGAACCCCTAGTTCCTGGGAACCTCCATACTGCTTCCACCCTTTGCATGCCTCCTACCTGGATTTGGTTCTCAGGGTAGAGGCCACCTCCTCCTGGAAGCCCTCTCACAGCCTGGATAAAATGGACACACCAGCACACACCACCCACCAGCCCTGAGTGGCAGAGACCCAGGAGCCTGGGAGAGGGTGGCAGAGATCTCAGGCTGTGTGGGTGGAGGAGGGGTGACAAGTGATGGGCAGCCCCTGCCTTAGTCTCCCCACCTGGAGCATCAGGCTGTTCGAAGAGTGAGGAAACACCGACCACCACCACCACCTCCAGGCTGACCCAGCTGCTGCCCCCACCCCCCCATCCTGGGCCCCACGCTCAGGGTCCTGCCAATGTCCCATAGGGCAGGGTGTGAGCCTTGCTGTCAAGCAGGCCCACCCTAACACCCCACCTCTGACACACAGGCTCGCACGGGCTTTTCTGTTTATTTATTTAAACAAACATCTGTGCTCTATATACAGGTCTGGCTCCTAGGTGGGTGGTTGGGTGGGCAGGGGCCAAGCTGTGTGGGAGAGCAACAGCAGCTGGACGGGTTAGGGAGGGGATCTGGCCCGGCTACCCAGCCCACCACCCATCCTAATGGCTTTCCTTGGGTAGCACCCTCCCTGCAGGAAAGCTGGGGGAGGGAGCCTCTTTCAAAAGCAAAATAAATAGGTGCCTGGGGGTGGGACCTAAACCAACCCCCAACCTCGGCCCCAGGCCTGTAGCCACGCCCCTCTGAGTGGGTGTAAGAAAAATGCAGGCTCAGGAGGCCAAGACTGGGGGGGTGGGGGGCAGATAGTATGCGGCAGGCCATGTCACCCCAGTGGCCCTGGGGGCAATGGGCAGAGCTGGGCAGGGGCAGAGGTGAGGGGCTGGCCAGACCCCAAGGCTTTAAGGCAGAGCAGGGCGAGGGTTTGCACAGCCCAGGACTGGGCCAGCCTTTGGCACAACTGGGGAGGGTGGCACCGTGGCCAAGGGCAGGGTTGAGGACAGGCGGGGGCGGGAGTTGCTGGAGGGGACATTAAGCCCATGGTCCTGGACCTCCCACTCCAGGGCCTTGTGGCTGGTCACTGGGGGTATGGGGTGAGGCTCGGCCACCGCCTGACTTCTGTTTCCATCCTGTGTCCTCGAGCCGGATCCCAGAGGTCAGCAGAGTGTGTCTGTGTTGAAGGAGAGCTGGGCCTGGTGGACGGCAGGGAGGCGTCCTAGGGCAGCCACTACCCCTCTACCCCAGGACCAGACCCGGACACTGGCTTGCCCCCCACCTGTCCCCGCTAGGCCATCCTCAGTGCTGCGCACCCCCCGTGACCTCCCTCTGCCCAGTGGAGGCCGCTGTGTTCATCGCTCTCCCATCCAAGTCTCTGTCCCCTACTCACCTCTGCCTGGCTTGAAATCCCTACGAAGTTCTCAGCATGTTGTGGGGTCTGCCACAGGTCTATCTCTGCCTGTGCCCTGACCCCCACGCCCACTGCATCCTGAGCACCAGGTTCCCTTGACCTCAGAACAGTAGGGGTCCCCAGGGCCCCCGCCAGTGCCCCTGACCCCAGCCCCATCCAGAGGCTGAGCCCTCTGGCCAGCCCGGGCACCCTGGACCCTGCGGACGCTGCTCACCCGCTCCTCCTCAAAGCTGATGAGGCCCTCGTCCTCCGTGTCCAGGTCCTGAGGCTCGTCAGCCACCAGTGCCCGCAGCTCGGTGGGCACAGGCCGCGGCCGGAACAGGCTGAGCAGGCGACCCAGGGGGGACTGCAGGGCTGAGGGGGGCTCTGTCTCCTGCTGCTCCAGGTTGTCGCTCTGCTTCTTGGCGAAGTTCACGAACACCTGATGGGCAGGCACAGGGGGGTGGGCGGCCCAGCCCAGGCGGGCCTGGCGTCCCTGGCCCAGGGCACTCACGTTGTCCAGGGTGGTCTGGCTGACCGAGTAGTCCTCGATGCCCAGCACGCCCACCACCTGCTCCATCTTGCTGAACACCTGTGCCAGCGAGATGTCCTCCGGCTGCAGCTGATACTGCACCTTGGTGTGGTGACGCTCCTGCGGGGGCGCGGGGGTCAGAGGCTGCTGGGCAGGGGCCCAGCTCCCCCAGGCCCCACCCACCTTGAGCACGGCCTCTGGGAAGTTCCGGTTGAAGAACCGCACCACGTCCTTCACATTCTGGCTGCTCCTGGTCCTCACCGTGATCATGTAGCCGTCTCCAAACCTGCAGGACAGGCCTGTGGCCCAGAGCCCCAGCCGCCAGGCAGCCCACCCCCACGTCCATGCCTGTACCCAGCTCACCGGTTCTTCAGGTGCTGGATGCTGCCCAGACAGCGCAAGCGCCCATTCACCATGATGGCCAGCCGCGTGCACAGCGCCTCGCACTCCTCCATGCTGCGGGCAGAGACACAGGCTGGCCGGGGAGGGAAGGGGGCCGGGGCACGTGCTGGGGATGGGGACAGGGCAGGAGGCAGCACACCTGTGGGAGGTCAGCACCACTGAGCGCCCCGTCTTGATGAGGTCGAGGATGAGGTTCCAGAGGAAGCGCCTGGCCTTGGGATCCATGCCTGTGGTGGGCTCGTCCTGAGGGTGGTACCAGCTCAGTGCCGCACTTTCTGGCCCTCCCTGGGGCCCAGCAGGAAGGTGGGCCTGACCCCCATGCCACCCCTTCCAGCTCACCAGGAAGACAAAGGCAGGGTACCCGATGAGGGCAATGGCTGTGGACAGCTTGCGCTTGTTGCCCCCACTGTAGGTGCCAGCCGGCTTGTCTGCGTACTTGATCAGCTCCAGCTTCTCCAGGGCCCACTTGACCACCTGCGGTGAGGGCATTCGTCAGGGCCCACCCTCCATGCTGGCCCCCTCCCCTGCCAGGCAACCCTCACCCGGGCCTCGTCCTTCCAGGGGATGCCCCGCAGCCGCGTGTACAGCTGCAGGTGCTCCCGGGCGGTGAGCTCGTCGAACAGGGCGTCAAACTGCGGGCAGTAGCCCAGACTCTGCTGTACTTGGAGCAGCTCCTTGAGGATGCTGGGGACACAGAGCTGTCAGCGCGGGGCTGCCGCGGCCACCCTGCCACCCCGCCACCCAGGAGCTGGCCCCCCGCACCTGTGCCCATTGATGAAAGCCTCGCCGCCCGTGGTGCTCTCATCTCCCGTTAACATCTTGAAAGTGCTAGTCTTGCCCGCGCCATTGACGCCCAGGAGGCCGAAGCACTCGCCAGGGCGCACACCCAGGCACAGGCGGTCCACAGCCAGGATGCGGCCAATCTTCCGCGACTTGTACACCTGGTGGAGAAGAGGGAGCAGCCCCCTCGGCAGGCCTGTCCGCCAGGCAGGCACCCCCCTCCCCCGACCTGAGCCACGCCCCTCCATGGCCATCCCCCACCCCTGAGCCACACCCACGCTGAGCTACACCCACTCCAGGCCTGCGCCTCCGCCTCCTGCACGCCTCTCCCTCGGCTCCCAGCCCTGCCCGCACGGGAGCCCTGTCCCACCTGGGTCCCCTCCCACATGCCCATAGCCCACCTTAGTCAGGTTCTCAATTTTGACCATGTCATTGTCAGCATCTCCCCGCAGAACTCGCTGCCGCTCGCTGGCCACATCCACATCATCCTCTACGGGCTTGGTAGACACTGGCATGCGTCTGCGGAGATGGGGGCACCCACCCAGCTGGGACACCCACTGTCACCCTGCATCTCCAGTTTGCTGCGGCCACAGCAGGAAGATGGGCAGCACCCAGCCCGTCCCCCGCCCCACTGCCCAGGCCCCCACTCACTGCGGCTGCCGCAGGAAGTTGTACTGGCACATGATGGTGAGGAAGAAGCCCACGAAGCCCTCCACCGTCATGGCCACCAGCCCCCTGGTGACAATGTCCCACTCGAATGGGGACTTCATCTTGTCAAACTGGCCTGTGGGAGAGCCGGCTCAGGACCTGCCTGGGGCCTGGGTGCCTCTGCCCGCCCGCAAGCCTGGAGCCCCGTGCCAGCTCCGCCCCGCGGCCTCACCGATCTTGGCATAGTACTCGTTGAGGTACTCATTGTAGGCCATCTCCATGAGCCCGTGGCCCAGGTTGTAGTTGGGGAAGATAAGGAAGCAGCTCTTCAGGTAGCTGTTGACAACCTTCAGGTCCTGGAGGGCCACAGGGCATCACAGGCACAGCCTCAGACCCACCGCCCTCTGCACCCCACTGCCCCACCGTCCCACCTTGTCATGCTCGAAGAGCTGCAGCAGGAAGGTGGCCACGGTGGCTGTGATGCCAATGAAGAGGTTGATGACGATGAGGAACACGTAGGCCGAACTGGGGACCTCGAACCAGAAGGAGGCCGGGTACATGATGGGGGTGATGGACCACCTGCAGGAAGGGGGCCGAGGGCGGTCACCGGGAGCCAAGCCCACCCTGTGCCCACCCCCGGCGTGTCCCCTTACCCATAGAGCAGGAAGAGCGAGAGCACGGCAGGAAAGTTGGTGGGGGATGTGTAGGCCGGCAAGTCGAACACAAACAGGATGATGACGCAGCAAGTGGCGGGGACCAGGTAGTTGAGCTGGCAGAGCAGGGGCGGAGGTGAGGGGCCCGAGGACAGGGCGAGAGGCCTAGACACAGGGGCGTAGGGTCCGGGGGCAGGACTGGGGGGCTGGGGCCTGGCAGGGGACAGAGTGTTGGGGTGGCTGGGGCCTGGGGGTGGAAGGAACCCCCCACAGCCATATGGGAGGGGCACACCATATCCCACACGTAGTTGGCCAGCCAATAGATGACTGGGTTACAGCCGCTGACAAACTGCAGGTGTTTGGCCTTGGTAGACCTCTCAGCCACCAGGAAGACCACGAAGCTGGCTGGCACGAAGGACATGGCCACAATGATGAAGATGGCGATGACCACATCTGTGCCCTGCAGCCTGGGGAACGAGGCAGCCCTCAGCCCTGCCCTGTGCCCTCCCCAGATGCCCCACACCCCCCATGTACACACATACAGGTAATCCAGGGAGAGGCTGGCGCTTGTCTTGTTCATGGGGTGGTTGGTGACAGTGATGCCTGCGGCACAGGGAAGGGCAGCCTCAGGGCCTGCCATGCCAGTCCCACCCCACCCCATCCTGCACTCCCCAACCCCGCCCCAGCTCACCGTAGGCTGCCGGGTTGCCCTTGCTCTTGGGCAGATTGGCACGCAGGATGGCATTGTTGAGGCTGTTGAGGTATGTGGGCATGCTGTGGTAGCCTTTATTGTTGTAAAAAACCTGGCAGAGGCACAGAGAGACCCAATGAGCCCTGTGGGTCCCTGCAGACTGCAGACCAGGGCCAGATACGGTGGGGCCCAGGCCTGCCCTCACCTGGGCTGCCCTTCGTACTGCGATCTTCCGCACCATGGCCGGGGCCCGGGCACCAAATGAGACTGGGATGGACTTCTGGATGTTGCCGAAGGTGATGGCCCCATACCTGGGCAGGTAGGTGGAAGGGCAGTGAGGTCAGATAGGCGGCTGGTTGGCTGCCCCAACCCACAGCCACCACGTGCCTTCTGCCCAGCTCACCGGTGCAGCCGGAAGCGGTCAGAGGTAAAGAGCAGGTACTCAGAAACATTGTGGCCGGTGATGTCAGTCAGGATGTCACCTGTAACCACTCGCATCTGGGGCGGGTGCCCACTCACACCTCCTGGGCAGGAGAAACCGGTGCCCTGCACAGAGCAGGTGCAGCGGATGGGCTCCCGCACCAGGTGTGGCAGGGAGGGCGCTGATGTCCAGTTCTCTGTGGGCACATGGGCACAGTCAGCTGGGCCCATGCTGTCCCACACCCCCAGGCAGCCTGGGAGCCAGTACCTGGCCCCAAGGTGGGTAGCAGGGAGGCATTCCAGGCCTGCAGCAGATCCTCATCCAGGGACAGAGGGGAGTCGGACGGAGCGGGCGAGGGTGGGGGCGGCACGAAGTTGGACAGCGGCAGCCCCTGCGTGAAGGACTCCAGGCACATGCTGTCAAAGAACCGTGCAGCCAGCAGGCGCGACTCTCCACTGCTCAGGTTCAGCGTGGGCCCCAGTGAGCCATTGGCAGGAGACTTGAGCACACAGGTGGCACCCACACCTGAGGGCAGCCGGAAGGTGCTTACAAGCTGATGGGGGCTGGCGTCGGGTGACAGCCGCAACCTGAGGGAACCCGCAGTGTGAGGGAGTGAGGGGTGGTGCCCACCCAGCTCAGCTCCTGCACCTGGTCCCCACCACCCTTGCTGCCAGGCGGGTGGCCTCACCGGTACTCCTGGCGCTCCTCGTTGGCGTAGGGGATGAAGTTGCCGCGAGGCTGGGTGTAGTTGTGGTACTGGGAAGGCGACAGGACCAGTGGGGGCAGGTCACCTGGGGGGGTGCACAGGGAAGGGGAGCAGGTTCAGCCCGCCTGCCAGTGGCCCCCCTAGTCATGGGCCCCTCTTCCCAATACCATAGTGTCCAGGCTTGGGGTCTGGGCCTCCAAGAGGGGCGAGTCCCTGAGCCCCAGAGTGTGCCCACCAGTCTCAGACGTGAGGCTCAGGCCTGGAGTGGGTGAGGGTCACCGAGTGCAGTGGGGGAGCGCTGTGCCTGGTGCCCCTCTGCCTAGTCAGGCAGCCCTACCGATCTCAGGGACAGAGAGGGCCACGGTCATGGCCACACAGACGAAGAAGGCAGGCAGCAGGATCTGGGAGGACAACGCCTTGGAGTTGCGGCGGGCACAGTGGAAACGCTTCACCAGCAGCCCGTGGAATTGGCGCACCTTCAGCCACCAGCCCTCCAGTTTGCGGCTGCCCTGGCCAACCCTCGTGAGGTCCTCCATCTCAGCCTCTGCACAGGAAGGCGGGGACTGAGCACATGGGCCAGGCCACGCTCCAGGGACCTTCCCCAGCTCCATCTGGCCACCCCCCACCTTGCAAGCTGACGTTGTCAGGGTCCTGCAGATTGTCCAAGAGGGGACGGTAGTCGCCACAGATGTCAGCATAGCCAGCTCCCTCGTCACCATGGGCAGAGCCCACCGAAGACACGGACTGCAGGGATGCCTGCGACCGGGCCAGCTCCGCACAGCGGGCCAGGTTACCAGTGTGAGCTTCCCCGGACGATGCCAGGCCTTCTGCGCTGGGCTGCACATCTTTCCTGGACTCCTTCACGTCTGGAGGACAGAGGGTGGAGGGGGCTTGGGGCCACTTGCCATCTCCAGGCCCTCCCGTGCATGCCCACCGACCCAAGACCCCCATCCCCAGCAGACCCTGGGAAGTCCTGGACCCTGTTCCCACCCAGAACCTCTAGCCTCCAGACAGGGGAAGAGCGAGCAGCAGCTCAGGCCCAAGTTCAAGGGGAGGGGGTGGGGCAGGGTGGGGCGGGGCGGGGCCCAGGCAGTGGGCGGGGCCTCTCACCGGCCTCGCTGCTCTCCAGGGACTGGTCCTCCTCCGACACCTTCAGGAACACCTCCTCCAGGGTCGTGTCCATCAGCCCGAAGCTGCTCAGGTGCAGGGCGTCCAAGCTGCGCTCCAGGTGCTGTGGGAGGGCTGGTGAGGCTCGCACGCCCTGGGCCACGGGGCCGGAACACCACCCTTCCGCTGGCCCCGCCTCCCGCTACCTGGAAGAGACGCTCGAAGGCCCCCTTTCTGGCGGCCTCACTGGGCAGGATGTAGGAGAGTTCGGTGCTCGTGTCTGAGACCAGGAGGCAAGAGGCCACGTGCTTGCGGATGAACTGGGACACCTGGGGCTCGGAGCAGCTGCTCAGCCGGGTCCGAGCTGGGGGGCTGGCCGTTAGCCCTGGCTCTAGGAGAGGAGCGGAGGAAGGAGGGGCCTCACTCAGGGAGAGGGGCCCTCCACGGGAGCCCGGCCAGGTGGAGATGGGGGCCTGCACGGGGCAAGCCACCTGCCCGGACATCTTTGAGGGCCCAGACCCTCAACCTAACTGGCCTTGGGAAGGGGGTCCTGGAGTAGGGGTGCCCTAGGCTGGCTCAGGGAGCCTCAGCACAGACCTTGGGGGCCCCCAGGCTCAGCAGGCCGCTTGACCAGCGTGAGACGGTAGCCATCCCCATAGGCCCCCTTGAGGAACAGCGGGGAGCCGCAGCACTGGAGTTTCCCGTGGGAGATGATGGCGATGCGGTCCCCAAGAAGGTCGGCCTCATCCATGTGGTGGGTGGACAGCAGGATGGTACGGCCTGGGGGGAGCCAGAATCAGGGCCAGGGGGCCAGGCTGCATGGGACCAGGTGGGGGCTGCCCACACCCACCCCGCGCCCTGCTCACCCGGCTTGTACTTCAGGATGAGGTCCCAGATGGCACGGCGCGCATAGGGGTCCACGCCGGCTGTGGGCTCATCGAGGATGATGGCGCGGGAGCCACCCACAAAGGCGATGGCCACGGAGAGCTTGCGTTTCATGCCGCCTGACAGCGTCTGCACCAGTGAGTGCCGCTTGTTGGAGAGCTCCAGGTCTTCGATCATCCTGGGGGTCACACAGGGGCGAAGGCCAGGACTCTTGGGTACTGGGCCTCTGAGCTTCGCCCAAGGCGCCCCGTCCCGCCGGAGCCCTGCCCCGCCTCCGGGCCCCGCCCCGCCCCGCCCCCAGGGCACCACCCACTTGTCCATCTCCTTGCGGATCTCCTCCTGGGCCATGCTCTTCAGCCGCGAGTAGAACCAGAGATGCTCCTCCACCGTGAGCCGATCAAAGAGCACATTGTGCTGCGGACACATGCCCAGGTTCTTGCGGATTTCATCCATCTCTGTGCGGATGTCATGCCCGTAGATGGTGGCCGAACCAGAGGTCGGTGGGAACAGTCCGGTGAGGATAGACCTGGGCAGGAGGGCAAGTCACCACCCTACCTCCTGCAAGCCGCCCATCCTGCCACCCATTGGGTTCTTCTGGCCCATTTCCTGGCCGCCGAACAGGTTCTGCTCTGACACTCACATGGTGGTGGTCTTGCCGGCTCCGTTGTGGCCCAGGAAGGACACCACCTGGTTCTCGTAGAGGTTCAGGCTCAGCCGGTTCAAAGCCAGCTTCTTGTCGTTCTTGTAGACCTTGGTGAGCTTGTCCACACAGACCACCAGCGGCAGGTGGGTGGGCTCCTCCTCCATGCCCCGTGTCTCCTCTGCACCAGGGCTGTGAGTCAGCACTAAAGCTGCCCTAGGCCCCCCAACCCCAGCACCTGCCCCAGCTGCCACCCTGGTGCCCACCTCACCCAAGCGCCTGCTCTCCATGGCACAGGCCTGGTCTTCCTCCATGACGCTGAGCCGGGGGGCGCGAGCCCATGGCCAGTTCCACTCCCATGCCTCTGTCCGCCCACTGCCCAGCCAGTAGGACTTCTGCAGTGGGAAGTACCAGGGCCGGGGCAGCCCATACATTCCTGGGGGTTGGGGAGGGGAGGGGTGGCTGATCCCAGGGCCTGGGGTGACTGTCCATCCCAGGCCATGTGTCCTCCCACAGGCTGTCACTGGCCCCAATCCCTCCCAAGGTCTGGCCAGCACCTGGGTGCACTGCCTCGATGTACCACGTGAGAACACCATAGACGGCTGCGTCCACCATCAGCATGGTAACAGCCAGGAGCAGGTTGAAGTCATCCCCTTCCACGGGCGACTGGCTGAATGTGTGCCACTGGATGCCCACACCGGCCACCTCGTACAGAGCAAAGTACTTGGATCCCAGGCCAAAGGCGGTTGTGGACATCAGACTCTGTGGGGGCAGCAGTGTCAGTCGGAGGAAGGCTGGACGCCGCCCCCACCGGCTGCCCACCCGTGACCTCACCGCAATGCACTTCTCGAAGGCGGTGATCTTATCGTGGGCCACCTCCTCACGGATTGCCACATACATATAGGGCACGTAGCTCAGGAAATAGATGATGCCACCACAGGCTGAGGCCAGCTTGGCCTTGGAGTACAGCACGGAGACCAGGAAGCTGGGGCAGGTGCGGCCATGGGCCATCAGCCACAGCTCACCCTCAGCCCTGAGCCCCCAGACCTCCTCGGAACAGGGGGGCACAGAAGGGCTCTGAGCCAGGTGTTCTGTGCTTCTGGGTGAATGTTACGAACACTCTGCCAGCGCTCAAACGAGGCACCCTCCCAGCCCACACCAGCCACACAGCACGCACCAGAACATGATGGTGGCCACGGCGTAGACAGCCAGGAAGAGCCAGATGATGAGCACGTGGCTGTGCATGAGCACCTGGCCGTACTTGAGGATGGCGGTGAGCGCCGTCACGGAGATGGACAGCTGCACAAAGCCGGTGATGAACCAGGCCACCCAGTGCACGGCATTGTTCAGGCCCATGGTCTTCATCACCTGTGGGCAGGCGGCCTTGGGGCAGGGACACCGGGAAGGGACGCCCTGCCCCTGCTCTGGTAGCCAAGCCTAGGGAGCGAGGGTGCCCACAGCTGGCCCCCACTCCCAGGCCTCCCTCACCCAGTGCCCCCACCTCCTTCAGCCGGTGCTCCTTCTCTGCCACGATGTGCTGGATGGTCATGGCCACCGAGTAGACCCACGAGATCACCATGCAGAGCGGCATCATGTGCTCAATGACAAACAGGAAGCTGGGATGGGGGCAGGCGTGTGAGGGGCGGGGCCCAGCGCGGCCCGGGTCCCCACGTGCCCCGCACTCACTCGTCGCGTGTGTAGCAGGGGTATGGAAACATCTGCACGTAGTTGCCCGGCTCCACCACGTCGTGGCCCACGAAGGTGTTGATGATGGCGCGCTCCATCATGTCTGCGGGCAGGCAGCTGTCAGCAGGGCCCTCCCCCAACCCCCAGCAGGCCCCGGGGTGGCCCTCACCTTGGATCCACACAAAGCCGTACAGGAAGTAGAAGCGGCCGCCAGTGTTGGGCCCCGGTCGCCAGTAGGCCCTGCGGATCTCATTGGTTTTCTCGGTGAAGCTGGAGTTCTGGCGGATCTTGTAGTGCACGTGGGGCGGCAGGGAGCCGTCCTTGTGCGTCTGGAAGATCACGCCTGGGGACAGGACGAGGGGCAGGGCGGGGACCAGAGGTGGGGTGGGGGAATGGAGGGCAGGCAGGGTGGAAGGGGTGCAGAGCTGGAGAGGCACAGACAGGGGGTGTGGGGCAGGTCCTGGCTGGGGCCAGGAGTGAGGAATGGGCCCAAGAAAAGGTGGGGGCAGTTGCAGGGCAGATGAGATCAAAGTGGGGTGGAGCTGAGGGTGGGTGGGGTGGGCAATAAAGGGGCTGGGCGAGCTGGGAAGGGACAGGAGAAGGGGCAGGACAGGGTGGGCCCAGGGGGCTGCTCACTGGCAAACACGGTGACATTATCCTGGTAGGCCTGGTTGAGGGTGTAGTTGACGATGCTCTCCTCATCAGGAAAGCCCTTGAAGATGTCCACACTCACCTGGGGCAGGGACACCGTTGGAGCAGGCCCTGGGCACCGGCAAAGCCCGCAGGGCCAGCACCCACCTTGGACATGAACTGGATCCAGCCACAAGCGGCATTGTCAATGGTGTCCAGCTGCTGCAGGAGGGCCGAGCCACTGGGCAGGGAGAAGCTGTCCTGGCGCAGGGCAGGCGGCAGGTCTCCGAGAGTCAGGTTCAGTGCTTCAGGGCGCAGCCGCAGCTCAGCTGTGTACTGGGGGGGAAGGCAGCTCAGAGGGTGACCTGCATGGCTCCGCAAGAGCAGTGGGGTGCCCCCACTCCCTACCTGCCGCAGCCAGCGCAGGTGCTGCTGAAGCCTGCCCTGCTCCAGGAAGCTGCGGAGCTCAGCAGAGATGTTGAGCCACACCTGGGCGTAGTGAGTCACATTGCCTACAAAGGCAAACGTCTCATTGGCCTGCAGAGGGTGAGAGCACGGGGCTCACGGAAGGACCCCAGACAGCGAGGCTTTCCCCTCCGCCTCGCCCCACAAAAGGGCGTCATCCTGGCTGGTCCCCACCAACAACCAGCCTTGCTCTGGCCAAACTCCCACCGGGGAGCTTGAAGCCCTCCCGATCCCTGCCTTTCTACGGTGAGCCCCTGGAACTCACTCTGTCCCAGCTCCCAGGGCAGCGTGGCCTCCCAGTCCCCTCGGTCCCCTTATCATACCAGCTGTGCCCTCCCAGCTCCTTTCTCGTACCCCTTCTCCAAGCATCCCGTGGGCAACCCTGACCCTTTGCTCTCATTTCCCCCCATTCACCCTCAGGACCCCCTCCATGGGCTCTCCCTTCCCTGGGCCATTTCCAGCCCTGGTTTCTCCTTGCCCCAGGCAGGACCTCTCCCCTGGAATGGCCACAGACATCTTGCCCCCGGCACACCCCAAATCACCAAGCTGCCCTGGCACATACCCCCCATCCCAGTCCCCCACTCTGCTCAGAAGGGTTCTGCATGCAGGGGCCTCCTCCCACCCGGGGCTGCGGGTCCGGGACACGCGCAGCCAGTCCAGGACTCTGCACCCTACCACCCCTCCGGCATGCTCCACGGCAGGCCCCAAGGGCTCCTGCACCTTGAGCCCATCCTCGAGTCCTCCGACCCGCAGAGCCAAGTCGGAGTTCAAGGGCCAGGGCTGCACCCCTCCCACGCCAAGTCCACAGACCCCCCTCTGCTCAGGGGTTCCGGGCCTGCAGAACCCTCTGCCCAGCTCTGGCAGCTCCTGCCCCAGACGTATCTTCAAGCACCTTGAGGATGACACGGTCCGCCTCGGAGCCGGCGGGCGCGTACAGGATCTTGGGGTTGCTGGTCATGAGGTGCACGAGGAGGCCCAGGTTCCTCTGCTCCTTGCTCGTGAAGCCCAGGGAGCTCATGTTGCCGCGCCGCAGCGCCTCGGGCTCGATGGTGCTGGGAGGGGGACGGGGCCTTAGGGGCGGGGCGGGGTCTGGGGGGGGCCGCGCGGGGCGGGGCGGGACCGCAGTTGCGGGCGGGCTTCGGGGCGGGTGCGGACGGCCGAGGGAAACTGGGAGCGGGGTGTGCACCTGGAACGAGGCGCGCAGCCAGGGCCAGGCCCCGCCCACTCGTCGGCCCGGCCGCCCTTCCTCCGGCGCCCACCTACCGGTTGTTGCCGCACAGGATGGGCTGCAGCCCTGCCCAGAGCTGCACGAAGGCCGAGCACTGGCCCTGCGTTGCGTCGGGGGAGCCCGGGGCTGCCGCGGACGGGGCACCCTCCTCCGCCGTGGAGTTGGCACCTGCGCCGGCCCAGGTTCCGTTGGCCGTCCCACCAGGGCCGCTGGCGGGGGACCCTGGAGCCCGCCCCGCACAGGCGCCCTGGGGCAGCAGCAGGGCCAAGGCCGAAAGGACGTCCACGTCCCGCAGAGCCTCTTGAGCCTCCAGCAGGTCCTCCAGCAGCGCCCGCAGCTGCCTTGGAGGGGGGCGCTGCTGCTGGGGGGCCGAGCCGTTCGGGGCGTCGAAGCCCAGCTGAGGGGAAACGAGGCGGGTGGGGAAGGCAGGCCCCTGGGCGGGGAGCCGGGGCTGAGGCTGCTGTGCAGGTGGGGGGTTGAGCAAGGGGCGGAAGGGGGTGGAGGGGCACCAGCAGGGGGACAAAGTCTGGGAGGAGGGGGCGGAGGGCGCGGCCCTGCTGGGGATGTGGAAAACCCACCCAAAGGCCCACCTCCTGCACAACCGCGGGCCTGGGAGTCCCCTAGGACAACCAAAGAGCCTAGCATCTCAGCCCAGAGAGCAGACTTGTGGGCCGGCCGGCAGGCGGGCCTCACCTGCTGGGCGATCTTGGCCACATCCAGCTGGTTCCGGAGCTCAGCAGCCAGCCCAGAAAAGCGCCGGGCGCGGGCTGCAGCCTGCCCACTACACACAGTGTCCTGGTAGCCCTGAAGCGCGGTCTGCTGACCCTGGGGCACAGTGAGGATCCGGCCCAGCTCCCTGGAGCCTGGCGTGCATGTCAGCTGCTCCAGGAGGGCGGGAGCCAAGAGCAGCTCCTGGGGGTGGGGTGCAGGGGACACCAAGGCCCTGGCTCCAGGCTGCCTCCAGCCTCCCCCTGCCTCGCCCCTGTGCCAGAAGTCTGAGACGGCCCAGGTCCGCAATAGGGGTGGTGGGGCAGATGCCCATCACCATCCAGCCTACTCCCTCCCCCTGCCAGCTACAAACTCCCAGAGACCCTCCTGTGCCCCCAGGAGGAGCTCAAAATCATCCAGGAGGTGCTTTCTTCACCCACCTGGGAGAAACAGTGCCTAGAGGCAGGTGGCACACTCCCCATCCCACTAACGGGCCCCCTCACCTCCATCTGGAGTAGGTGATTGCTACCCAGGCGGCTCCATAGCTCATGAGCCCTAGGAATGCCTGACTCAGCATCCAGAGCAGGTGAAGGGCCAGGAAGCAGGCGATAGACCTGGGGTGCGGGGGGCTTGGCTCAGGCTGGGGGTCCTATCCCCTCGCCCCTCCCCCCACAGGGGGTGGCAGAGGAATGGCCACGGCTGGGGGCTGCCCTGAGAACAGAGATGCTGACGCTCGCTCCACCTCACCTCGGGCAGGCCCACCTGGGCAGCCAGGAGGGCCTGGGCTGTGCTGTTAGGCAGCGACAGGTTCTGTGTCAGGAAACGCCAGAGCTCCCTCGGGTCCCTGGCCACCGAGTCCAGAGAGAAGGACCCTGGACAGGCAAAAGGATGGGGCTGAGGGCCAGCTCTGCCCAGGGGGGGCATCCCCAGCAGGCTCGGAGCTGAGCCTCTCACACCACAGCTCAGCCACTGGGGATGCCTGGCAACTGGAGCAATGGTTTAGAAACAAGGCCCTGAGGCAGGAAGTGACTGAGCTGGGGTTCAAGCCCAGCAGACACCAGAGCTCGAGCCTCCGCCCCCTGGCCCAGGGCACACCTGCAGGTCTGTCCGGACGGCTCTCCCAGGAGTCTGGGCCGGAGCTGAGGACCTCCAGGTGCTGGCGCAGGGCCTCCAGCTCGGAGCCCAGGCTGGGCCGCGTGGGCTCGAACAGGTTGCCCTCCTCCACCACACGGCTGAGGCGCTCCAGCAGTTGCGTGACCCTGCACCACCACAGGACGTCACCCACCAGCCACCAGGCCCCGGGTGGGGGTGCTGGGCTCCCGAGGAGGGGCACTCACGTGGAGTTGGCATACTGCAGGAAGCCGAACTCATCCCGCTGGCCATCTGGGCACAGCGACTGCATGACAGGCAGGATGCCAGCAGAGGTGAGGGGTGCTGCCGTGTAGAAGGCTGGGGGGCAGGCCGGCGAGGGCCCGAGGGGGAGCAGGAGGGCAGGGGTCGGCGAGGAGCCAGGAAGGGGGAGGGGCCCGGGGGCCAAGAAGAGAAAGTTAGAGAAGGTCATGGAGGAGCAGCAGCCTTAGGCAGCAGACAGGGGACAGATGGCCAAGAGACCTGGTGCAAATGACCCAGCAGGTCAGAGGTCAAAGGACATCTTGCCATCCTTTCCCCACCACTCCCAGAGCACCCCAGTTCCCCAGCCAGCCAAGGCTTGAATGCCCTGGCACATCCCCAAGAGCGTTGGTGTGGCACTGCCCAGAGCCCAGGGGAGCACGTGAAGCCCTCACTGGGCAGTGACCTCTGACCTCTCTGGCAGGCTGGTTAGTGGAGCAAATGCAGGAGCCCAAAAGTGTCTGAGGGGAGAGCAGCCAGGTGCCCCAGGCCAACAGGCCCCCCACCAGAGAGGGGGAGCCGCCCTGGGAGGCAGCCATGTGAGCCAGCCCTTCGCCACCCACCTCCCACCATCCCATGAGCCTGCCGTTCTGACAGTGGGCAGGGGGCTCTGCAGGGCCCTGCCAAGCTGGGCAGGCTGTTAATGCAAGCAGGGTTGGGGTGGCGTCCTCAAGCCGCAGCGGGAGGCCCTGCGGGGTCAGCAGGCAGGAGGCAGCCGCTCACTTACAGACTGCATGCGGGCGAGGACAAGAGACGGTGCGGGGCGGGGGGCGGGGGCAAAACAGAACAGAACAGTGAGGACTCTGCACCACATCCTCCAGCCAGGCCAGGAGGTACGGCCAGGGACCACGTGGGGGGCAGGCACATGGACCATGCCCAGAGCCACAGGAGCTGGGATGTACGTGTGTGGTCACAGGCACACAGGACACACGTGCATGAAGCGCTGAGGGCTGCCTGCCCCCTCACACCCCATCTGCGCCCTGGGCCCGCCCCCAGGAGCCTCACCTTCCTTCACAGAGATGGTTGGTTTCTTCTGCCGAAGCCCCAGCAGAATGAAGAAGAGAACCAGAGGTATGAAGATCTCAAAGGCCAGAACCCACTGGAAAAGGAGTGCTGAGTGAGGCCGCCTGTGCGGTCAGCCTGGCCTCCCACACCATCTGCCCAGGGCTGAACAGGGCTGAGACCTGCTCCCCCTGACAGGCAGACAGATGCCCTCCCTGCACGGCCTGCTCAGCCCAGCCTGGACCTGGGGTCACAGGTTCCCCCAGGGACCATAGAAGGTCAACCTAGGCCCTTCAGGGTCAACAGAGGTCACAGCCCATTCCTTCGAGGGCCTTTTCAAAGGGTGAAAGAGTGAGGATTGTCTGGCCCAAGCAAATCAGGTCTCCTACCCCCTAGCCCAGGCTGTTTGCCAAACTGAGGGCCAGGCAGGAACACATCAGCCAGCCTGCGACCCACTCTGGCCCATGCATCTAGCCAGTTCATCTCCTTCCCCGCCTGCAGGGCTGCCTGGGCAAGATCTCAAGGTAGTTTCTGACCCCGCATGCAGCTCCCACACTCCCCCAAGGTCAGCCCTCCTCACCTCTGCTGCAACGCCATTAAGCCCCCATGAAAGGGCCTGGGAAGATGAGCCCAGGCTGGGGGAAGCCCTGGCTCTAGCCCAGGGCCCTCAGCCTTCAGGAAAACCTGGTCAGGGGTCTGACAGCCGGTCTCCAAGGCACAGGCACCTGATTCTGCCCTGGCCCCACTCCCCAACCCCAGGAGGCTTGGTTGGGCAGGGCAGCCAGCCCACCACAGGCCTCTGCTCAGCATTCCCAGGACAGCCCCTGCCACACCAGTCTGGGCACCAAGGTGAGCCCCGCTGGGACCTGCTCTGAGCGAGAGAGAAAAGCTGGGGCCCCAGCTTCTCTGTTTCACCTGGAAAATGGAAGGGCTTCCCCATGCTCTCCCCACCCACTCCTAGCTGGGGTGGGAGGCATGGAAGGAGCAGGACCTCCGGCCAGCTGTTCTTTAGGGAACCCTTGCCCAGCCTAAGGGTGCGTCCTGACCCCCACCCCACACAGCGCCCTGATCCCACACCCCTTCCCAGTGGCCCCAGATTCCCTGACCCTCACCCCCCAACTGCAAAACAGACTCCAGAGCCCCTACCCCGGTGCCACTCTGTCCGGCCCAGGGCTGGAGCCCCCAGGCCCGGGGGTGGAGCAGCTCTGCTGTGTGTACTGTGCTTGACAATAGTGCTCTGTGGTCTGGAACACCCCACTGGGTGTCTGTGCCCCACGCCTGCCCCAGCCCGTGCCAGCCTCCACCCCCTCCCTGAACCGGGATCCAGCCCAGGGCTAGCCAGGAGGCATCGCGGGCACCCACATCACAGGCTGGAGACATGCACAGAGTGAGGGTGGCTGTGTGCAACAGTGAGTTGGGAGGCAGGGGTCACAGCCACAGTGTCAACCCCACCCACACCCACCCTGTCACTGGGCACCTCCACCCGTAACTGCAGCAACAGGCCATGGCTGCCTCCTCATTGCCATAGCAACGGCTGCACATGAGCTGCTGGGAGGAGGAAAGGCCTGCTTGGCGGGCGGGCATGCGGGCGGGCGGGCAGCCAGAGGGGCATCTGGTTACAGGCAGGCAGGCGCAGGTTCAGTCCCACCTGGGTGCCCCACCAAGGGCCCTGAAACGTGGTCAAACTCTGGTCCCTTGAGATCAGCCCAATGCCCTGATGTTGTCCCTGAAGCCCGGGTGCCACCTCCTGGCCCGCCCCCTCCTGCTGTGTCAAGGGGAGAATGGGTGAGGCCTGAGAGTTGCTGCCCCACTTGGTGCCTTGGTGACAGTGATCTGGTTCCTCCACCAAGAGCAGCTGGTGGCCCCAGGGTAGACCAGTGTCCAGCCACACTCACAGATGGAGAAACTGAGGCACAGAGCTTGGGAAGAGTAAGCAGGCAGGGCCCAGAGTTCCCTGGCTCCTACCCTACAGACCAAGCTTTCCACAGGATGCACCCACCCCTCCCCAGCAAGGGGCCCACTGCACAAGGCCAAGCCCAGGGAGGCAGCCCTGAAGCCCAAGACCCTCCTGGGAAAGTGGGGGTGCAGAAGAAGCAGTCCTGCAGCCACCAGCTCCAGCCCCATGGCACACACCTGGCAAGGCCTCAGCTACCCTGCAGGAAAAGTTTGGTTCTCAATGAACCAAAACATTGACCAAGAACCTCCATGTGGCCCAACAGCTCTGGAGTGGTCCCAGGTAGGGGCACAGGAAGGTTCCAGGGGAGGTGGAACCTGGCGGATCGGGGCCACTCCTGGGTGTGGGGAAGTAGGCACCTCCCACTAGCTGGCCAGGTACCATGCAAGCCACTGCTCCCTTCCTGAGCCTTGGGGTCCCCAGTGGTCACAAGACCATCATCCCAGCCTCTGCTCCCCACGAGTGGGAGAGCTTCCTGCCAAGAACCCCAGGACTGCTACTAATACATGCCCACATCCCAATCCCCCTTCCTCCTGAGCCCCGCCCAGCTGTCCCCAGTGACCCAAAACTTGATGCGGGGGAGGCTGCACCAGAGGCTGCCTGGGGCTGCAGGCTGATCCAGGGGACCCAGCCCCAGGTGCCCTGGGCAGGGAGAGTACCTGACCTTGGCTCCCCACCAGGGCCAGGTGCCCAGGGAATCCTGCCAGGTCATGGTAATGATGGCCACCCTGCCATTCCGTACCCAGGGTTCCCCGTTGTACATTCCAAAGCCCTTCTCAAGGAGGAACCCAGCCAGGAGATAGTCAGACCCAGGGGTCCCAGGGCAAGGTGAGACCGAGCCTCCAGAGCCCCAGGTGGGCAAGAGGGTGCCTTCTCCTCAGGTGCCCACTGCAGAACCTGGCCTGCTCTGGGACCCATTCTGGAAAATCCCCAGGGTGCATTCAGAAACCAGAGCTGCCCACTGCTCTCCGGTGCTTGGGTTGCTGCCAGCTGGGCAGGTGAGCAGGAGATGCCCCTGCCCTCCTCGGGCTGGAGTGGTGAGGGCCAGCATGGCATCTATACCACCCCAACCCGTTTCCTCACCAGGGCTTCTTTCCCTGACAACTGCTGTGCTCTGTGCCCTCGGGACCCTGGCTGCCCCAGGGACAGGGCAGAGAGCTGCAGAGCCCGGTGGTCACAGCCAACAGTAGGACCCAGCCCCCAGGGGAGGCTGGAGGGGTCTCAGAGTGGGTGAGTGTCAGGGAGGGCTGCCCCACAGGACAAAAGGGTGCGGGGACTCAGGTGGGCCGAGCTGCAAGGACGCTCCCTGTGGTAAGAAAGCACGAGCAAGGGCTAGTGGACTGCGGAGGACGGGAAGTGCCTGCCCAAGGGCAGAGGGGTGGTGCAGGCAGGGAAGGGGCAGGGTCCCTGCAGCGGCTGCAGAGGGTCTGGGCCCAGGGACCACGCAGCCTCTGCGCCGGATGGGCCCCTCAGGCTAGCCCTCTGTCCAGGGAACCTGGGCCTCCCGCGACCCCAGAGTCCGGGGCCGCCTGTCTCCCCCAACCCGCCGAGAGCGCGCCTCGGAGGGCGCCCGTTCCGTGACTCAGCCGAGCACCACGAATGTCAGCGGGCGACGGGCTGGGCACGGCCGAGACCTCTCCGCGGACGCCAGAGTGCGGGCAGGGGCGGGCGCGGCGCGGCGGGGAAGGGGCTCTGGCCCGAGCCCGGCCCGCACCGCCCCCCGCCTCCCCGGTCTGCGCGCGCCCGCCTGGGCCGCACGTGCGCGCGGAGAGCGCGCCGCTGGCCCCGGACGCGCGGCCCCCGCTCCGGACAGGCCGGGTGGCGCGCGGGGTCGCTCACCGGGCTCCGGCGCTTCAGCGTCGCGTTCTTCCAGAGCAGCAGCTGCAGCTGGTGCAGGAAGCCCATGGCGGGGCCGCGCTCCGGCCGCCTCCGCGCCGCGGCCGCTCCTCTGCGCGCCCCGCGGGCCCCGCCGCCCGCCGCGCCAGTCGGCATCGCCCGCGCGGGGCGGGGCTTCGGGCGTCCGGGACCGGCTCCGCGCTGGCCCCGCCCCGGGGCCGCGGCGACAGCCACTCGCGCCGCCCGCGCTTAAAGGCACCGCGCCGAGGCCGCCGCCCCCTCCCGGGCCGTTCCCGCAGCTCTGCCCCGCCACCTGAGGCTTCCTGGTCGCCCCCATCTCGCTAGGCGTTGAAGTGGCGCGCCCAAGAGCCAGCATCTAAACCGAGACCCCCGCCTGTCCCCCTCCGGGGCGCTCTTCTTCCAGGGACCGCGGGTCTGCGCACAGCACCCCTTCGGGACCTCCCACAGGAGCGCTCCCAGGTGGCCCCTGGCCCCGCGGGCGCGCTGAGCGGATACTGGGGAGGCTCGGCCCCCGCAGGTCACCACCTCTGTCCTCCCCTCCTCGCAGAGGTGTTGCTGGCAGGACTTTCCTCTGCATGTAGGAGCCAGGTCCCAGTCCCCAGGGGCACTGCCAGGCTGCAGGGGGTCAGCCGCCCACACTTGGGGAGGGAAGAGCTCAGCCGTGGCTGGAGAGACCACCCTCGCAAAGTGGGCACTGCCCTCAAGGCTTCAAGAGTCAAAGTTCCTGCGCAACTGGGCCCTTCTTGACTCGCACCTCTCAGTGGGTGTGAAGGTGAGAGGGGTTGCAGGTGGGCTATCCCACCCCCATAGGAGTTTTCCTGCGTCTCCTGTGGATCAGACACTCGGTGACCAAGCTTTAGGATGGGCCCAGATGGGCGGGTCAGGGCTGCAGCTCTCTGGCCAGAACTGCTCCCTGCAGGTGCTGTAGGCAGGGTTCTTGGGGAGCCTGAGGCTGTTCCCCGTGAGTTCGTGATTTGTCTCCCCATATCTGAGAGCAAGTCTGGCTTCCACATAGGGAGTTTGGCATCAAACGGATTCCGCAGAGACGGCCTGGGGCCTGCTGGAGCCAAGCGGCTGCTGGACAGGCGGGCGCCGCCTGAACCCGGCCGAGTGGATTCAGGGCCCATACCCAGGAAGGCCAGCGGAGGGCAGGGAGGGCAGACCATGCCCTGGGTGGAGGCAAGGCTCGGGTGTGGCTCTCGTGGTTCCGCCCAGCCCCATCTGCGGCTAGTGGGTGGGAAGGGCAGGCCGGCCATGTCCAGTGTCAGGGTGTACTCTAAACTGAATGGCAGACTTCGGGGGTTGCAGCTCCCCACCTCTCTCACCTCCTTCCTTGGAGGGGGGAGAGGAGATGCCCAGACAGGTGGGTGAGGACATTTCTCAGTCAGCATGTGAGGGGCAGGGCACAGGTCAGGACAGGAAGTCACTGGCAGGCCTTTCCCACAAGCCACTGTCAAGGGGGCGGTTGGCTTCCTGCCTCCACCTGCTGCTCACCCCAACCTGGGGCAGAGATGAGTTTTGTGCCCCTGTGCAGGGGTTGGGCCTGTCAGAGGCCCTGTCAGCACCCAGAGGTCTAGCAACAGCCTCTTCTCCTTCCCCCCATGCAACTGGTCACAAGGGGCTCCCCTGGCTCTACCAGCCACCAGTCAGAGGGAGCCCCGCATCACAAGCCAGTACCTGTCACACCCTGGATCGCCCTGCAGTCTGCGAATGAAATCCCAAGGCCTGGAAGATGGGGCACCTTTGCCACCCACCCCACCCTCACCCCGGTTTCCTACCTCGGTGCCCCCTGCCCTCCAGAGGCGAGGCTCTTTGCCATGGTACCATTGAGCAGGGGCTGAAGGAAGCAGGGAGGGGGAAGCAGAGCTGCAGGGCGGAGGGTGTCTCAGAGGAGCAGGTGGGGTCCCGTCGGGAAAGTGAGGCCTATGTGGCCCACATGATGGGTGGAAGGCAGGTATGTGGGCCCTGCTCCTTGCAGACTGGACACACGCCATTCTTGTTCTTCCTTTATTGGTTGATGCCCCTCCCCAAGTGGACTGCAGGATGCAAAAAGCTGACCAACCTGGTGTGCTTGGCACGGTATCCCTGCCTGGCATGGGTCTGCACGAGGGGCTCTGGCACTGTGGAAGGGGCAGGCCAATGAGCTGCATGCTCCCCGCCAGGGCCCTCTGTTACAGAGGGGCATGTCTGCAGCCCCAAGAGCCCTGTCTCTAGTCTCAGCCCCACATCTGAGGACAGCCTTGACCCCCCCCACGGGATCTGATCAGGGTGGACAGGGAGGTCCTCAGCAGCCCGTCTTCTGACCAGCTGCAACTTGCACCACACTAGCCTCCTCCTGCTGTCATCTCCACCCCCAAACGCCTGCTGCAGTACTCGCCAGCCTCCTCCAGGCAGCGTGCTCAGACCCGCTGCTTCTCCCTCACCCATGCTTCCTGGTCTCCCACCCCAGCCTCAGGGTTAATCTGACAGCTGCCCATGGGGGCCGGATGCCCCATGGTTTGATTTCAACATCCAGCCTCCCACCACACCACCAGCGCCCGGTTGCCCTCCCCTGCCTCCCCCAGCAGCCCAGGCTCAGGCCTGGAACCAGCCCTCCAGGTCATGGTAGACCTGGTCGCGGGGCAGGTGGGGGTAATGGGTGCAGATGGCGCAGAAGCGCTCCCGCCAGTCGCTGAACAGCCTCACACGGAACCGCTCTCGCCAGGCGAAGTAGCCCCGATAGCAGCTCTCATTCATGCCAGCCAGGAAGGCGGCCAGCTCACGGGCTGAGCCGAAGTCATCCACATGCACAAAGGCGTCAGGTGGCACAAGAGCCTCATAGTTGGCCCTCGGGGGCCCCAGCACCACAGGCACAGCACCAGCCGACAGCGCATTGCGCCAGAATTTCTCAGTGATGTAGTCTCGGTGCTGTGAATTCTCAAAAGACAGGTAGAAGAGGTACTGGGCCACAGTGGGCAGCAGGCAGTGGGCACACAGCGGCCGCCTGTGGGCGCGGCCAAATACATCCACCCGCAGGTGAGGCGCCAGCTGCCGGTACAACCGCACCCGTGGCTGTCGCTCCTGGAAGTTGCTGACCACCCAGGCAGCCACCCTGGTCTTGGCGGGCAGCGGTGGGGCTGGCCCGTCATGGGGCTCCAGGTAGCCGTAGGGTACAAAGATGTCTGAGTCGCGCCGGTAGCTCAGCACCCAGTTGAAGATGCCTCGGAGGAGGCCGAGGCCGTGGGTATGGCTGGGTGACTCCATTGAGGCCCACACCCAGGGCTGCCCACGTGGCCGCTCAGCCAGGGGCAGGCGGGCCTGCCGCGTCTGCAGCTCGCGGTGGTGGAAGACCACGACATCGGCACTGGCCAGAAGGCTGCGGTTGGTGCTCAGGTGGCAGTGGGCCACACCATAGCTGGCACAGGTATTGCTGGGCAGTTCCGGGGGCCGGTCGGCAAAGGGCCAGTGCCAGACGAGGACAAGCTTGGGCTGGGGCACCGGGGCTCCCCCAGGGGCCCGCCGGAGTAGCTGCAGGAGCCAGAGGGCTGAGAGCAAGGTTGCCCCAGTCAGGCCCCCCAAGGCCCAAAGCCTCCGGGCAGAGCCACACCCTACACAGGACACAGGAAGAGAGGCTGTCTCCTCTGGCTCCCCACCAGCCGCATCCTCCTGCCCCGGGCTTCCCTGATGCCCACTCACTCACCGGCATTCTTCATCCGCAGCTCCCAGAATCAGTCACCCAGGAACCCAAGGATATGAAATCACAGTAGCTGCCAGGCAGAGGTGCCCTGAAATCACAGCTGGGCCCGGTGCCCAGCTGCACCTGGAAGCGCTGTGCTTCAATCTGCCCAAGATGAGAGAAACCAGGTACCTTCCCGCGCCTGCCCCACCCTGCCCTGCCCTGTTGGTGGCTTTTGGCATTACCCACCATCCTCCCCCTCTGCCCAGACAGTCCACCAATGCCATGCTTCACCGCCTCCCATGAGGGCCTTCGGAGAGGCCTGGAGGTGACCAGCTAGGCAGGTGCTCGGGAGGCAGGAGGAGAGGCGGTCCCCTCCCCAGAAGGGCACCAGGGACCTTGAGGACCCATCACTGCCCACCACCCAGGCCCAAGGCACCCCAGATGGCCTGCAGGCCACAGTGGGCCCCAGGACAGTGCCACCCCCACTCTATGGCATTGCCACTTCCCCTGCTCACCAACAGACCAGCTCTGTCCGGGGCTCCCAGACCCTCGCTTAGGGCTGTAGATGTGCTGCGCTCAGCTCTTCGCCGCAGACTGAGGTTTCTCTCTTGGCTTCTGGCTGTGCCGCCCCACCCCACGCCTGCAGCCCCTAGGGCCCCTTGTGCCAGAACTCAGGTTCCCAGACAGGGGTCCATCCCAGGGTCCCACGAGGCCCTAGCACACACCCGCAGCGGGCGGGCACGGGGCTGGGCCTGGTCTCGGGTGGCCTGCAGGCCTGCTGTGCCTTCCTTCTCTGCCCAAGGACTGAAGTGTGCAGGAGCCCCAGGCTGCGGGGAGGCCCAGGGTTCTGGCGGGGCCGGGAACAGGAACCTGGGGGCAGGGCTGCTCCTGGGGGCTCCAGGTCTCTCCCTGCGGGCCCCACAGCCCAGGGCAGGGTGGGGGCAGGGAGGGGGCTTTCCAGGCTGGAAAGGGAAGGAGTCGGAGTGTCCCTGACGCAGGTGGGCAGGGGGCTGGCTCCAGTGCCAGGAAACGGAGGGCTGAAGTCCAGAGCCCCTCCCCTCCCGCCTACTCCAGCCAGCCTGGAGCCCTGAGGCCCGGAGGCCCTGCTCCTTCCCCTTTTGACAGGTTCCTCTGAGTGGGAGACCAGCAGGCCGGTGCCTTGGACTTCCCTGAGCTCTGGCTGCTCCCCAACCCAGCCCAGGCCCTGTCCCGTCAGCTGCCCTCGCCCCGGCCAGACCCCGGCTTGGTCCTGGACGGGGCCCAGCCCTCGTGGTTAGCGCTTAGGAGGCCTCAGGCTGGTGTCACGGAAGGAACAGCGACCAGGAACAGCCAGCAGGGTCTGCTGCCCTGTCGTCCCAGGGGCCTCCCACCGCCCTGCCTGCCCCGGCTCCTGCCCCTTAGTGGGGACCAAGTGCTATCAGGGCAGAACTGGGCAGCTTGCTGAGCAGAGGCAAGGCCGGGAGGGGGCTGCTGGCCACACAACCTCTTGTGCACACAACATCCAGGTTGGGGGGAGCTGTGGCGTGCGGCAGAAACCATCTGGGGGGCCCAAGGTGTGGACGCAGCATCCAAACCTGGTTCCACACCGGCTGGAGGGGAGTGGGTGGCTGTGCCAGCTCCCCACCACTGCCACCAGCCACCCAATGCTTAGGAAGATGATGTGGTAGCTCTGGGCCTTGGGCCCCACCCTGGCATCTCTTCCCTAGTGGGGGGCCCATAGGAGCCACGCCCTGGCTCCGGGCCTCGCTCAGCACCCTCCTGCGGTGGGCACCCTGCGCGGAGTGGAGGCTTGCAGGAAGGAGCTGATCCTCCCACAGCCTGACGGCAACCTGGCTTCTTGCTGGCAGTGCCCCTGCCCTTCCTGTTGCACAGCCGGGTTGGCCAGGGCCCTTGCCACAGGCCCATCTGTACCCACAGCCTGCTCCCTTCCTGGGTGAATGCAAGGGAGCCCCCCCCTTCCCCGGGTCGGCTGGTCCCCCATCCCACATCTACCACTTGCGCTGGCAGCCACAGGGCCCCAAGCTTTGGCCCAGAAACAGGTCAGAATGAGAGGCTCTCAGAGGGAAGAGAAGGTGAGAGCGTGAGTCAAAGGGAAAGCGGGGCCTCATCCTGCACACCCCAGCCTCACGACACCCCGGGGCACGGGCTGGCAGCTCTGCCTGCCAACAAGCTGGCAAGCACCTTGGAATGAGGGACATGCTCTCGCCCAGGGCTGCACCCTCAAGGCTGCTGTAGGGACAGCCTCCCAGGGGGCACCAACGGAAGCTGTAACCCAGAGGGACGGAGGGCAGGCCCTGGCCACAGACCACAACCCCTCATCCCGCCCCAGCAGACAGCACCCAGGGTGGGGGCAAGGGGCCATCCAGCCCCAGCCCCAGGGGAGCCTCAGGGAGAGAGAGCGGAGCCTGGCTGCCCATCCGCCCGCCCATGGTGCGGCCTGAGTACCGGTTGTCCAGGCGTGCCCAGAAGGCCCCCTGGTGGCCGTGCTCCCAGGCAAACGGCTCCTGAGGGGCCGGAGCGAAGGCAGCAGAGGGAGCCAGGCGCACATCGCTCTGGCCCAGCAGGTGTGGTGGGGGCTTCACGAACCCCTTTAGGAAGGTGGACGCACAGAGGCGGGCAGGTGGCTGAGGGGGCCCTCGGCTGGGGAGAGCGGCCAAGGGTGGTGCTGGAAGCAGCAGGGGGCGGCCCTTCCGCCTGGAGACCAGGCAGAGCACGTGGGGCAGTCCAGCCGGTGGCCGGTCCCCTCTCCCATGCCTTCCTTTCCTCCCTGGCTGGGGAGCACCTCCACATCCCTGTCCGGGAGGGGCTCCAGGACCTGCCGGAGCTCCTCCAGGGGCCCAGACTCTGCACCTGCGCTGCCCGTCCCTTCTGGTTCTGCACCAGGACCCACTCCTCTGTGCGGCAGGGGACTCAGATTCCCAGACCAACTTAGCCAGCCACCCAGACTGGCAGGAGGGTGGGTCTAAACTGCAGTGGGAGGGCCCGCCTCCTGCTGTCTGGGCTAGGGGCACCACCCTGCCCTAATTCTGTGCCAAGAGCGGCCTTAGCCCCAGGGTCTTGCTGCGGTGGGAGACATCTCCAAACGGATGTTACCTCAGGGTCTGTGTTGGGGTCTGAGGGTCCCCTTCTGTCACCTATGCCCAGAGGTGACTCCAGGCAGAGCTGACACACAAGTGGGCTTGGGCGGGGTCAGGGCAGAGGCAAGATTAGACTTTCACACCAGGAAAGGTGCTCGCGGGCAGGACCCTGCGGCCGAGGCTGCAGGGCTGTGTAGGGTGGTGGGCTTCTCGCCTGGGACTGGGGTCTCCAGAGTCCCTGCTCACCCAGCCCCCCATTGCCCGCCCATTTGTGTAGCCACAGTCCTTCAGGTCCCTCCGCCTTGGCACGCCCGCCAGCTGCAGGAGCCCAGGGACCGCGTGGACCCTGCAACACACTCACACTTCAGGCCTGTATCCTGTTTCCCCACCTCCCCACCCAGGCAGAGAATGGCAAGGATGGAAGGGTTGGGGGCCCACCAACCGCCTTCTGTATCATACGCAGGAGGGGGTCTTTCAGGGAACGGCACTGGCTGCAGACTGGGGCCCTGTATGGCACCCCGCCCCACCCCGGCAGGGACACCAGGGGCGGTGTGCATGAGGGCTGCAGGACAGCGGGTCCTGGGTGTCTGTGGAGAAATAAAGCCTCTGTTCCTCAGCAGGAGATGGGAGGGTCTTGCCAAGCAGGAGCAGATGCCCCCTCTCTCTGGGGGTGTGGAAGCAAGCCCCCGGCCCCCTCCAGGGGCTGTGCACCAGGCCCCACACGGGGGACAGTCTCCAGCACAGCAGGGCCTTGGATCTGAAACGTACTTTAATCGGCTCTGTCTCCACGCTCCCCACCCATGCCTGGTGGCTGGGGCTCTCCCTGCCGCCTTGATTGGGGCCTAGACTGGAGAGGACAGGCAGGAGCGGGGACAGTCCCTGCTACCAGGCGGGCCCTCCCGGCCAGGGGCTCCCAGGCGGAGTGCAGCCGACTGTCAGAACGTGGCCTCTAACGGGAAGCAGCGGCCCTGCAGTCCGCAGCGGGCGGGCGGGGGCCTCGGTCACTGCGGTGGGGGCGCGGGCAGCGAGGCGTGGTCAAACAGTGGGTTCCGCACCTCCATCTCTCCCGTCTGTGGGGTGGGCACCAGGCTGGTCCAGGGGAGGGGCGGGCAGCGTGGGGGGGATCCCCCCAGGAGCTGGTAAGCCCCCCGCCCTGCCACAGCACTCACCGGGGCCAGGCCCGGGCACTCGTACACTGTGAAGTCACCGTCTCCGTTCTCCTCATCCGAGGAGGCTGAGTCAAGGCCCTTGGGTGACTCTTTATGCCTGGGTGAGGGGGTGGCATGGCTGGGTCCTCCTAGACACTCCAGGCACCAGTGGCCCAGACTGGCAGTGGGTACTAAGGGCACATGGACCCCAAGCAGGGGGTGGGAGTGGGGGGCCCTGAGGTGGGTGGACCAGCCCAGGGTGTGGGCAGTAGTGCCCAGGGCAGGGGCGGTGGGCCCAGGGTGGGGACTGCGGGCTCGGGGGTGGGGCAGGGGCCTCTCACCGCTCCAGACACCGCATCTGCTGCCTGTGGTGCTGGTAGTGATAGACCTCAGCGCTGTGTGCTAGCTTCTGGTCCCCGGGCTGCTGCGGGTTGGGGAGGAGGGTCAAGCTGCAGTCCAGAGGGGCAGGGGCAGCAGGGCTGGGGTGGGAACACGCACCGAGATCCTGGGTGTGGCGGGGCAGCTGGGTACCCGCGGGGCTGCGTAGTCAGCCTTCTGGGTCAGGCGGATGTCTCGCTGCAGCCTGTGGGAGTGGAGCCTGAGACCCGTGGGGCGGCGACCCACCTCCCCCACCCGGCCGGTGATCCCCACACTCACCTGCACCAGCAGAGAGTGGCCACAGCCAGGGCAGCCGCGCCGGCCACAGAGCACGCCACCGCGAGCACTGCGGGAACAGGCACAGTGAGGGCAGCCCCGGGGGTGGGGTGGCACCCCCTCCCTGCCCACCAAGACCTACCGAGGGCGAGGCCATCGCCATGCCCACCCTGAGGCTCCAGGGGAGCCATGTGCACGGGTCCAGATGACACAGGGGCACCAAAGGAGGTGCGGGGCGTGGGTGCCGGGGCTCCCCGAGTGGAGGGTAGGCCCAGGTAGGAGCCCTGGTGGCGCTCTGCGAGCCCCAGGGTGGCTGCTGCAGAGAGAAGGCAGGTCAGGACACAGCACCAGGTGGGGCCAGAGGTGACAGGGAGAGGCAGGGGAAGGGGCTGGGGTCTCACCAGGCTCCAGGGGCCGCACAGTGAGCCTCCAGTGCCGTGCCTCCTGCCGGGCTAGCTCCTGGGCCAGGAAGTCAATCTCATCTTCTAGCCTGGGCTGGGCTGGGCTATCCCCTGGGGACAGCGAGGGGCCATCAGGCAGGGAGGACCCCAGCCCCTCCTAGCGGCACAGCTGGCTGGTGGCCTCCCAAGAGGGAGAGGCCCATCAGGGAACCAGTCCTCAGACCTGGGCCACCTCCTCCCTCTGAGCTCTGCCCAGGCACCAGGCGAGGGCCAGGCCCCAACCTTTGGCCCCTGGCCATCTGGTGTTGCCATGGTGACAACTGAGGGCTCTCCCTGTGTGCAGTGGTGTTCCCAGGAAAAGTTTGGGTGGGGGTAAAGGGCAGAGGTGCTAGGAGAATGTGAAAAGTCCAGGGTGCCCCCACCCCGTTACCCATGAAAGGGTGGGCTGAGTGTTGGGAAAAGGCACCACCCCATCCCAATACTTTCTTGGCTGAGGGGGGCAGTGACTCCCCATGTAAGGGGGACCCATTCTGTTCCCCTGCCTCTAACCTCCACCATGTTATCAGGAAGAAGAGAGGCCCACTGCTGAGTGGGGTTGGTGGCTGGGTCCCCCTTGCCCTTGCTGTGGGCTCCAGTCCAGAGGCTCCAGGTACACCCCCACCCAGCCCCGAGAGGGTGCCACCTGCGAGAGCTGTCCTCAGTACCCCTCAGGCCCCCACCCCACGCCCTGCCGGGACTGTTCCTCCGGGAAGCCCTCCTGCCTCCCGGGCTCCAGCATGCCCAGCACCCCTCTGTGATGCCCCATCACACCTGAAGTCACTCAGCATCTGACTGGCCATCCTGACAGGCTCTGGGCTTCGGGTGTGATGAGGTACCCCAGCACACACCAAGTGGACAGGACGAGAGGGTAGTAGAGGAAGGGTGTGCTGGCAGAGAGCCCAGTGGCCCACAGGGTGGGGAAGTGGTGCCTGAGGAGTTTGGGGAGATCCTGTGGAGACCCAGGCCCAGGATCTCTGACCCTGCCTCTCACAGGAGCACCCCAGCATTTCCCCTGGACACCCTTGCCCGGGGAGGGGCTAACTGCTCCAGGCCTCAGCCTACCTCCAGACTCTGGGCCTGTGCTACCTGGAAAGGACCTCCAGGCCACTCCAAAGCTCCGAGGACCAGGGAGCTGAGATGGGGTGGACCTGTCAGGGTGGGGGAAGGAGAAAGGCCACCTTGCTCACCTGCACCAGGAGGCTGGCGTGTCCTGGGCACACAGAGCCCTTGATGGTCCTCCCGGAAAGGCAGAAGGCAGGGCCCACAGACACGTGCACCCGGGGGACACCGTGCCCGCCTCTTCAGGGCACAGTCCAGGCTCCCAGGACAGGCGGCCACATCTAGGAAGGAAGCAGAAGGCAGAGCTGCGTCACAGCCCAGGGGGCCTGCTCGGCCTCTCCCTCCCCCGCGGAGCTGACCAGGCCTCTCCCTCCCCGCGGAGCTGACCAGGCCGGGTTCGGCCATTGTTTTGGACAGGCCCTTCCTCCTGACTGCCAGCCATCAAAACCAGGAAGACAAACAGCCCCAGGACTTATCAGAGCTCTCCTGCCCCACCCACTCCCTAGAGTCCACTTTCCGGGCCTGAGGCCGCCCAGCACTCGCTCTCCCCAGCAGGGCTGTGGGGCCTCCAAACCCTGCCTCCAATCTCAGCATGCCCCAAACCAGCCCTGGATTCTCTGTCCAGGCTGGGGTCCCCGGGGAGGGGGCAGGTCTCCCTCTCTGACTCAAGGGCAGCATGAGATGCTGGCCACCCACCTCCCCCACCACGTTGGAGCTGCTCCCCAAGCCCCATCATGCCATCCCACAGCCTCAGAGAGCAGAGCCCAGGACAAGGGCGCGGCCTGGAGGACAGTCACACTGCACCATGTCTAGCCTCTAGCTAGTCCCTGGCACGGAGCAGCCGTTGTGTTGCGGAGACCTGAGATGAAGCCAGCAAGTCTCATTTGCTCTGGTTACAGAACCCAGGCTGAGGTCACTCCCACAGCCACACTGCCAGGGACTGGGGAGTGCCTGGGACTTTGGGCCAGAACCAGTTCCTGATTTGGGGCCCAGCACACACGTCCTGTACACACAGCCAGTGTATCCCGTCCTGATGCTGGGGAATGGAGGGCAGTGTCCCTCTCTGCCTCAGTTTCCCCTCTGTGTCATCTGCAAGCTAGGGAATGTCTGGAGGCCTGAGATGCTGGCCCCGGTCGTGCAGCACCAGAGCCAGGAGAGCCAGGGGAGAGCCAGCGGGACGGTCAGTCCTGCAAGGGGAAGAGGAGGCCCTTTCTCCAAGCCCAGCTCCTGCCTCACGCTGCAGAAGGGCCACTGGGACCCAGGGCCGTGACATACGGGATCGGGGGTGACCAGCTCTGTCCTCCAGATCTTAGTTGGCTCGACTTGGTCTCCTTGGTAACTTGACAGTCACACCTGCCGGCTGTAGGCATCCCTGCTGGAAGTTCCAGCACACCTGCTGCAGGTAGGCAGAAGCTCTCATCCCAGGGACCGCTGTCCTGCAGAGACTGGGTCAGCAGGCACCGGTGTTGGTGAGCTGGGCCCAGGCCTCGGGTGAGTTAAACATTAAGCCTGTGCCAGCAGGTCTGACTGGACCCCACCCAGCAGCTGGGGATATGAGGAGCCAGGCAATTCCTGCCCCTGGTGCTGAGAACCCAGGGTGCACCAGGCCAAGGCAGGGGCCTGAGGGGCAAAGCTGGCTCCGGTGTCTAGGTTCCAGGGGTCTCTCTACACCCCCAGGCCCCTGGGCCCAGGACATGGCTGCTACCTGTACAGACCTGGGAAAGGCCACTCCAGCCTCGGGTGCAGAAAGATGTCTGGAAAGAGTGCAGCTGGACAGTGGGTGGCCCCCCATCCCATACCCAGGCCAGCATAAAGCCTATGAACAGCTGGGATGGCGCCCACCCACCTCAGGGGCACAACAGCAGCTACAGCCCATTTCCTCAGGAGGCCCTACCCTGTACGCCCTGAGCTGGGCCCTCAGCAGGCAGCCTCCACCATCCCTGGCCAGCCACGCTCCGGCCCTCAGGCCTCTTTGGGAGCCTCCCCTGATCATGCCAGCATCCTGGATGGACTGCTGCCCCGCCCTGCTCTAGCCTCTAAAGGCCACACACACAGAACCACATTGCCCAGGGTAGTCTCCCAGCTGTACCTGGTACCAGTCACTGAACTTGTCCATGCCTCAGTTTCCCCATCTGTAAACGGGTTAAGAATAGTACCTCTCCTATGGGGCTGCCAGGAGAACTGGGTGACTACAAGGGCACGAAGTCTGCTAGTGCAAACCCCTAGCAGGGGGTGCGTTGGATCCTGGGCTCCTGTAGACCTTCCCTGCCTTTACCCCAGTGCCCATCTGGGAAGCAGGGAGGTTTCC